TTAAAGTATTGAAGGAGCCTCCAAACGTTGGTAACATATTCCTGATCTTTGTATAGATTATTTGTTTTGATTTGTACAGATTTTTATTTACACTGTTTTCGATTATAATATGGGAAGACGTTATAATCTTTGCCCAGATTTTGGGGTTTAGTGTGATGAACAGATTCGTCTTTTGAATGTTGTGTTTTTATTGTTGTTTTTCTGTTGTGCGAATCTGTTCACTCACTTACAATAACAACTCAAACTATAACAACAAAACCCCATTAAAATTTTGCTGCTCAACACACATTCACAATCATCGACACGATGAACTATTAGAATCAAAGTCAATATAAATTCAATTGAAAGAGGACTAGGGATCGGTATAAAGAGACTCATTTTTTCTACGGAAGCCACACTACTTCTCTCTTACCAAGTCATCTTTCACCACACTACTTCTCTCTCCCTTGCTATCTATCTTTCACCAAACACAAAAAACATCCAAATAAAGAGTAAGAAAAAAAAGAAAACACAAAAATGGTAGGAAGAGGAAAGGGAGGCAAGGGATTGGGAAAGGGGGGAGCAAAAAAGAGATAACATTCAGGGGATCACAAAGCTAGCGATTCAGCATCTGGCAAGGCATGAAGGCGTCAAGCCAATGAAGATTCGACATAGCAACGTGTCGGACTTTGTATGGTTTCATTGGTTAGTGTTAGGGTTTGGTGTGTTGATGTTTTAATAAATTTTGTAATGAAATCTCATCAATTAATATAGATTTCAGAACAGCGAAGAAGAAGGAAAAAGAAAAAGAGCAATTTCGTCAATCTCTTTCATGAAATAGAGAGCGATAGAGAAGAAAAAAATAAGAAGCAAAGAAAGAACGATGGAGAAGAAGAAATAGAAAACCAGAATGACAGAGAAGGAAATGGCAAACTTTTAAGGGCATTCCAGTCATTTCAGAAGTGTTACCTTTTAGCAAATAGAAATCCCTAACAAAGAAGGACAGAAAGTACCTATTGGTCCTTTCCAAACTATTTGGATACTACTTTGTCTTTACTTCAAACCTTAGGTGGGTGCATGAATGCAGAAGAGAGCAAATGTACTGATTATTTACTTCAAGCCTTAGGTGGGTGCATGAATGCAGAAGAGAGCAAATGTACTGACTATTGAGAAAGATAAAATTGATTTTAAAGCAAATCAAGAGTAAGAATTATATATACCCAATGTCAGAATATTGCATTGACATGTGATCCAATATAACTTCATTTACAATAACTAAAAGATATTAAAAGATACAATACTAGACCCGTATATGTAAAATATGGTCAAGATTTAAATTAAAAGAGGAATAATTAAATTCATTTACGCTTTGAATTTGGGCAGGGACTCAGGCCCATCTTCCCCTACTCACGAGTGCGGTTTAAGATATTAAAAGAGAATATTGGGACCTACACAATATTTTACAAGAAAATTAAATCGTGGAGAAGCATAAAATTAAGGAAAATAATTAACTAGACCTGTATATGTTAAATATGGCCAAGATTTAAATCAATTTTTTTGCAAATAATAATACTAGGTCCATAACCCAATTTCACAACCCTTGACATGGCACCTCGACATTAATCAACTGGTAAAATGAGTCTCGTCAACCCATTTACAATATGATCAATGATAAGTTATCACATCAAAAGTTACGAGAGAATGTTGTGAGATTGAATTATGAACCTAATATAAAGCTTGGCCCATAACCCAGAATTTGCGTTTAATTGAGAAGGGTTGGAGCATCCAAAACAAGAAATGGTCAAGATTTACTTTGTTGAAATTGCTGTATCTATCTTTGCCAAGGTTTCAATATCAATAAATTTGTAAGAAATATGAATAAATCAGAAAGCCAAAAAACAGAAGAAATATTTACATACAATTTGTTTTGTATTGATTTCATTAGCCCCTGAATATATGCATCATACAGGTCAGTATCCCGTACAACCAATTTTTCCCATTGGTTTGGATTCAATGAGTCTCCAACAAACACAAGTCTTTTGTTTCTCAGCTTCTCTAGCAGTAATCTTTGACTTGAACCCGGTCGAAGAAATAAATTAGAAACTTTAAACTGAAGAGGTGTTTAATTAATAGGCGAAGCCGCTTCAGAGCATCTTGGCTGTTCTGACTGCTATTGTTGTTGTTGTGTTGGTGGCTGTTCGATGAGGAGTCGTCGGAGGAGTCAACGGACAGGGTTTGGACACGTGGTGGAGTAGAGTGGGCGAAGGAGGGAGGAGGAGGTGGAGGTCGAGGTCGAGGTCGAGGTCGAGGTCGGAAGCGATTTGAGAGGTCATACTGGGGCCCACGGTGACGTGATGATTGCGAGATCTGTTCAAACTTCGTCATTTGTGACAAAACCTTTTCGTTATTGTGAGAAAAGTCCTGATTAATATCCAAAATCTCCAACTCCCTAATAACAATATATAATTAATCAAACCTCAAAGCACCAGGCGGACAACAGGACACACTCAAACCTCAAAACAGTAAAACACCAGGCGCAGAAAGGACACACTCAAATCCCAAATCTCCAGGAAAGATACAATGTACCTCCGCAAGGAAGACCTTGATCTGTTACTTGTGCCCGCTGGGTTGCTCATGATGTTAACATACCATCTCTTCCTCCTCTACAGATACCTTAATCTTCCTCAAACCACCGCTCTCGGCTTCGATAACCATAACAGGAGAGCTTGGGTTGGAAGAATTGTGCTGAATCGCAACAAGGATACGACCGGTGCAGCAGTTTCCGTGATATCAAGCCACATAACAGCAGCAACTGTCTTATCTACAATCTCAATTTTACTCAGCTCTCTCATTGGAGCGTGGCTTCAAAGTTCTTTCAATAACGTATTTCAGAGCAAACTCATTCTTGAGGACACCGGGCCAACCACCATGTCAATCAAATACATAAGCCTTCTCGTTTGTTTTCTTCTGGCCTTTTCATGTTTTGTCATATCAATAAGCTATTCTGTGCATGCAAACTATCTGATTAGCATGCCAGAGAGTAACATACCTCTGGAATTTGTTGAGACTGCAGTTATAAAGGGAAGTGAGCTTTGGTCACTTGGACATAGAGCTTTTTGTTTTGCTTTAAATTTGCTTCTATGGTTTTTGGGTCCAATACCCATGTTCATTTCCTCGATTGCTCTGGTAATTATCCTTCATCACTTTGACACAAATCAAACACCGATGCGCCATTATTTGTCTCCGTGAAGCCTGCCGACGATCGGTGACACAATGAAGTTCGATCAACTTACACAATAGAATGTATCAAGTAAGAAAAGTGGTTCTGAAATAATAGCATATGAGACTGGTGAATATTATAGTTTATATGATCATTTTCTCTGTTCTTTATCTGAATATCATTTTCTTGATTGAAGAGATTGATAAATTCCCAGCATTACTTACAACACTTGTATTGGTAGGCAGCAGAGGAGTGGAATTGAAAGTAAAAACTGAGACTTTTGCTGCTCCCTTTTTTTTTTTTTTTTTTTAATTTATAATTCATATTACAGCTTGCACATCTATATATCAAAGCAGAACATCTGAAGATATACTCAAACCACATGTTTCACGATCGACCAAAGACTAAACCCTTCTAGACCAGTAGGATCATCAAACGATAGACTACCAGTCTTGCTGATAGTTAAGTGTATTTTTCTTTGTCCTAGATCAAAGATTATTTGTGTTATATTTACTGATATGATGATTATATATCAAGATGATAAAAGCATTGACTCGTTCATTTTATTAACTCAATAACCTGATTGGTATTAAGTGATGATATAGTTCTTTTACTCCAAGGCTTCATGAGAATTCTTAAATTATAAATGTGCTTTTTGGTACGACTCCTACCGACCATGAAAGAAGATTTGCAATCTATAGATTCCAAAAAGTTGGCAATGCCGAAGAAACCCACCAAGTTTGAACTGGGCCAACAATTAGGCTCAGATAAATTACAAAAAATATAAGGACTCTGGGCAACATTTAAGCTTAGATAAATGACGTAGAACGTCTGGTGGGTGAATTTATAGAGCGAACTGAATGTTAAAAGTTCATACTTAAAACTCAAAGATCTTAAATGAGTATGTCATATTCAAACGGTCATAACTTTTAATCCAAGAGGAGTTATGAGACCCATAAGATACCGTTAGAAATTTTATTTGGAGTCCGCCGACGTCGTAACCGTTTTAGCCGGTTGAAGTCGTTTTCAAGGTCAAAATCCACCATTTTGGCATGTTTAGGGGCTGTTTTAGTTGTTTGTGCGTTTTTTCCTATTTTATTTTGGGTTTTTCTGTTTTAATTAATTTAGATTTTGTTTTTTTTTTTTTATTAGGAGTCTTATTAAAGTTGGTTATCATCTTATATAAACTTATTTTTTATTTTGGATGTTATTCAATAAATTATTTAGATTTTAAGGTTTAAATTTATAGATTAAGACGTTTCAAAAGAAGATCACCATTAGAAAAGTAGTCGAGGGTAGAGCGTGAGCTTAAGCAAAAAGGAAGGAGGGAAAAGACAAACCTGTTACAATGAAATGTGGTTTTGATTAATGACCAAAGTATTACAGGCCCACCATCAACCACTAGAGATTGCGATAATTTAATTAAATTCGATTAAAACAATGCTAATTACAGATTATAAATATATCAAGTGAAGAATGCTAGTGGGTTTTTTCAAATTTTATTGTATTTTTTTTTTTTTTTTTAATGATAAAATGTTCGTTGCAAGGTGGCATTTTATTTTCAAATATAAAATATTATAAATTACTTTAATATACAGGAAAAATATTATATAGTACCCTATACTTTTACTTAAAATGTCTCCTGGACATCCATTTTTACTCCAATGAATGCAGAAGAGCGCAAATGTACTGACTATTGAGAAAGGTAAATTGATTTTAAAGCAAATCAAGAGTAACAATTATATATATATATATATATACCTAATGCCAGAATATTGCCTTTACATGTGATCCAATGTAAATTCATTTACAATTGTTGAATGCCAACTAATGGCAATTAGTAGTTGCAGGCATAATCTAGAATGACTGAAAAAATTAACAAAAAGAATATCATCAATAGGAGTTTAATAGCTGAAGATGATTTGTGTATAGATGAACTCATTCCATGTGTCTGGCAATCCAGGGAGACACCAATGAACACAATCAGGATCGATCTTCGCGTCTGGAGAGTCCGAATTGTGTTTAGCAGAAGAACCATAGATGGAGGTATGTGCATCTTTCCTGTATTCAGAGAGGGTGGTTATATTGAGGAAATGGACAGGCCGCTTCATTGATTGAGTCACATTTGCTGCAATCTCAAAGAGCTTATGGTCTGTGCCAACATTTGCTGGCATTGACATGTTTAGAATTGGTGTTGTTTCCTTTGCGCACTTGATCCCTTCTGGGTTGTTCCAATCTAAACTCCTGCAACATTATTTGATCGGTTATGATTTTGGATACAAAAAGTTTCCCAGAAAAAGAAGGATTTGAAATTCAGTGCCTGATATGTTGGGGAGCCATGCTGCTGAAAAAAACAGATGAATTTGGATCAACATTTTCCTCAACCCACTTTGCCCATGTCCTCAAAGTTCTATCATATATTGTGTACACATTGATTTCATCATACTCTGTGGCACCTTCATCGAACGATCCTCGTCTATTTTCATTTCAGTTTCAAGAAGGAATCAGTAAGATTTTGACAAGATCAAAATAAAGGCAACAGAAAACCGAAAACATGGGCAACACTTACAACACTTTCATAGTTGGAGATTTAATCCACCAAATATATGTGTTAAAAATGAGGTAGTCAGCCTCCTTCCAAATATCTCCACCCTTTGAGATTGATTCAGGCATGATCATGGCGTCCCTTTTGCCATCTCTCATATTTGGAGGTTCCGCACTGGACTCAACCAAAAAGGGTGCCCAGTAAAACTCAATAGAAGCATTATAGTCCTGGAAATTCAATCAAATAAACAGTAAATTTCACAAATCGTTGAGTGGGAGATAGAGGAATTCAAAATTTAATACCTCTGCTCTGAATCTGTAAATGTAGGTTGAAGGATAGCTGACGCTCTTCTTGCCCGGAGGCACAACAGATTGAACCATACAAACCATGGACTGCCACTGGTTATAATGTAAGGAGTCTCCAACAAACATGAGCTTCTTTCCTCGAAGCTTATCTAGCAGTAATTTTCCATCAAACCTTAACAACCCAGAACCAGAAACTTCAAATCGTTAACTTCAATAGAATGTGTTTGTGTTTGTTTAATGCTTGTTAAAATTCTCAACTTACTTGGGCAAAAAACAATCTCTGGGCTGCCATCTCCAGTTCTGATACAGAGAATCCTGCCTCCCATTTCTCAAACATCTCACCCAATCCGTTAGAAACTCACATTCATTTTCTTTGTATAAAGGGTGAGTCACATTATCTAGAACCCACTCTCCACTGAAGATGTCACATCTTTTAATGCCCTGATCACTTTCTTTGTTGGCTTGTATAATCTCTTGGTGTTTAGACAATATCGTTGTGTGTTCATTGTACAAAACAAATCCAAAGAATGTCACTGAAAGAAAAGTAATAGATACGAGAAGTATGGGGAAGTAATTGAAGCTATGGCTGTCACCAGCGCCCTTCATTATGGCTGTCTTCTTCAAGATTAGCATTTAGTTAATTACCTCCTAAATGTTTGTATCAATGGTGGTGTAACCTGAAAGCAGGAACAATGACTGCTAATAATAGATTAACAATTAAATAAAAAAAAAGGCCAAGTCAATGCAATGACTATAATATTGATATTTGGTGATGGGTTCATCTAAATTTATGCTCTAAGCCATTCATGTAAAAAAATTGCAGGGCTTCTGTGAAGTAGAAGTAGAAGTGTAGTACTGAGCTTGCAAGAAGTCAATGGAGTTTGGCTAGCTTCTCCTGGAAAACCTAACAGCCAATTAAGAGATAAAGCAGGTGGATTTGAATATAAAAGAACTCCAAAAAGAAATGCCAATAAAAGTATGAACTGTTGCGTGTACGTTGTCGACCTCATTCAGATGGAATGAATATTAGAGGTGCAGTTGAAACAACTCCGCCATGGGCCACCAAGGTTTCGTAGATGAGTTGAATAATTAGAGTGGCAGGTTGAATGATTAATGCAATGTAAAGTGTAACGTTTTATGTATAATAATAAATAAAAATATATATACTTTCAATAAAATAGGAGCTGGTTTTAGGAAGAAGATTGGATATGGTGCAATTGGCCTGATTGGGCAAGCAGTTAACTTAGAAGAAGGATACGAATATTCAACAAAGCCCAAATAAAAAGAGATTCACATGGGAAAGGAAAAGCGTATAAAATGCGGTTTTAAAAATAAGAATTTATGTATTTTATATCTAATTTAATCATATTTAAAATTTCTCCATAATTAGCTTCATTCTCTTTAAACTTTCTCTCAATTTATCTAAGGAATACTCTCACGAGTAGGGGCGGAAAAAAAATTAGTGTGGAATCGAAACCGGTGGATACCTAGAATGTCAGTTCTGGTTTCGAGTCGACACCGGTTGTCACAAGATCGGTTCCAATTCTAAAAACCTGGAACCGACACTATGCGATTTTAGTTTCGGTTTCACCATTGCAAGAATTGGGAACCAGAATCGGAACCAAGATCCAAGTACCTGGTTAGGAACCGATTTGAGAACTAGGACTGAATTATAATTTTTGTAAACTATTGGGGTGTATTGTGATTTTTAGAAGGTTTATTTGTTATTTTTGAAAAGTAGGGGTAATTAAAATTAACCCAAGTACCCCGAAACCGGAACCTATGTTTCAGATTTCAGTTCCTGCCTTCTAGGAACTAGTTCCAGTTTCGGTTCCTGGCTTTTAGGAACTAGTTCCAGTTTCGGTTCCAAATACAAAGAACCAATTGTTTTCGGTTCCTTTGAAATTGGACGTGTACTTGGATCGGTCGACACTCTACCCCTACTCACGAGTGCGGTTTAAGATATTAAAAGAGTACATTGGGACCTATATGATATTTTACAAGACAAATTAAATCGTGGATAAGCATAAGATTAAGGAAAATAATTAACTAGACCTGTATAGGTTAAATACAGTCAAGATTTAAATCAACTTTTTGTAAAGCTTGGCCCATAACCCGGAATTTGCGTTTAATCGAGAGGGGTTGGAGCATCTAAAACGAGAAATGGTCAAGATTTACTTTATTGAAATTGCTGTAGTTATCTATGATAAGATCAGAAAAAAAAATAATAATAAATAAATATTTACATACAATTTGTTGTATTGATTTTATTAGCCTCTGAATATATGGATTATACAGTTCAGTGTCTTGTACAGGCGCACAGCCAATTTTTCCCCACTTACTTTGTCCAATGAACCAAAAAAATTTGGTGGCCCATCTCTATCATTCACCCTATAACAAAAACTAAAACGAGGGAACTGAGAAGAAAAATTACAGGACAAATTAAATCATGGAGAACCATAGAAATTTTAATTTTAAACAACAAAAAGAAAAATAAAAAAAAATATATCAAAAAACCATCGTGACCGGTCACGTGCGAATGATACGTGCGTAAAGGAATTCGTTCCATGTGTCGGGCAATCCAGGAAGGCACCAATGGATACAATCGGCATACGTTGCAGGATCAGCCTTCTGTTCCGGCGTCAACATTTTGCCTTGGCGAATTGTGTAAACTGAAGTGTGTGCATCTTTTCTGTATTCTGAAAGCGTCGTAATGTTAATGAAATGGACTGGAACTTTCATGTGTTTTGTCACATTTGCCGCAATCACAAGGAGCCTTCGGTCTGTGCCCACGTTCAAATACATTGAAGTGTTCATAATTGGAGTCGTTTCCAATGCACACTTAACCCCATCTGGGTTCTCCCAATCCAAGCTCCTGTAATTAAAAAATAATTTAGTTAACTTGTACTAATTAATCTTTGCGTTAATGGATTTTGGGGCACATAATGATGAAATTAGGTGTAAATATATAGTGGTTTACCAACCAAAGATTAAAGTAACACCTAATTTTGATTAATGACCAAAATATTACAGGCCCACTATCTGTTTTTTTTTTCTTCTTTTCAATGATTGGAGTGTCCGATACAGCTTACGTTACACTTTAACTAATCTCTTGGGACCTTGAAATTACCGTCCAAATAAGAGTTTCAATAACTACTTATATTAACAACTGAAAAGACATTAGAATTTCGGACTTTTTGAGTAATACACTCAAGAATTTTTATCGAACCACTCGACCACCTAATTGATGGTTTATAGGCCCACTATCAACCGCTAGAGATGGGAGATAATTTCCAATTAGAGAGAACAGAAAGTTAATTAAAATTCGATTAAAACAATGCTAATTACAAATTAAGTATATTTAGTGGTTTACCAACCGAAGATTAAAGTAACACCTAAATACCTAATTTTGATTAATGACCAAAATATTACAAGCCCACTATTTTTTTTTTTTTTTTTTTGTTAATGATCGGAAGTGTTAAAGACAATTTATGTTGCATCTCAACTAATTTTTCGGGACTTTGAAACTACCGGTCGAGTAAGAGTTCTAGTCACCACCCTTATTAGGCTATTAGCAACTGAAAAGAGATAAGAACTTAGAATCTCTTAAGTAATATACCTAAGAGTTTTTATCGAACCACTCAACTACCCAAGAATTGGTTTACAAGCCCACTATCAACCACTAGAGATGGGCGATAATTTCCAATTAAAGAGAACAGAAAGTTAATTAAAATCCGATTAAAACAATGCTAATTACAGATTAAGTATATTTACTTGATGTGAAGAGGGGACATGCTGCTGAAGAAGACCGTGGTGCGATTGGGATCTATATTTTGGTCCACCCAATTAGACCAAGTCTTCAATACTCTTGCATAACCTTGTGGCCGTTCAATCTCATCATATTCTGTGTCCCCATCATCGAACGATCCTCGTCTGTGTCATAATATTAATCTTGTTTAATTAAACATAATCTAAATCCAAATAAAACTGATTTAAAATTAATAATAATAAAAAAAAAAACGATACTTACAAGATTTTCATGCTGAAAGTATTCATCCACCAAATATACGTATTAAAGATCAAATAATCAACGTTTTTCCAGTTAACTCCATGCTTATCGATTGATTCGGGCATGATAATTCGATTCAAAATGCTGTGCATCGTTGGATCATCCGAATTTGACCGAACCAAGAAAGGGGCCCAATAAAATTCCACTGTCGCATTGTAGTCCTACAGAAAAGACATGCATACAATAAATCAATGGAGGCAATCTCTAAGAACAAAGGTCCAAAATTTCCCATTTTTTTATTTTCCTTTTTAATGGGGACAGAGAAAAAGGAGTCCACTTATGTATTTTGTTCTAATTTACCGATTTCAACGGCAATACATCATACAAGCAAAATCTGAGTGACTCAAACATCGCCATCTGTATACGTTTATTCTAACCTAATCATATTAATTATCTTTAATTTAATTAATTATCGCTAATTAAGCACGAGGGTATCTCATTATTATTCAACAACTTTGGAAAATAATCATCATAGTATGTCAAAAAGATTTAAAAAAAAAAAAAAAAGCAATAAAAAATATGACACGGGGCCCAATCCTGCTTTGTGTTTGAGTGGGAGAGAAGCAGAGAAAGATTTTTACCTCAATTCTAAACACAGCGAGAGATCCCGTTTTGTTCAAGCTTTTTCTACCACGAGGAACCGCAGATTGAACCAAACAGATCATGGATTCCCATTGGTTTCGATTCAATGAGTCTCCAACAAACATAAGTCTTTTGTTTCTTAGCTTCTCTAGCAGTAATCTTGATTTGAACCTGAACGAAGAGATAATTTATTAACTTTAAGCGCAAGATGTTTGTAGTTAAAGAACAGAAAAGGAGGAGATTAATCAGAATTCTTACTTGGGCAAAGAGCAATCTCTGGGTTGCCATCTCCAGTTTTGGTACATGGAATCTTTTCTTCCGTTTCTCATGCAAGTGACTTGGGCTGTGAGAAATTCACACTGATCTTCTTTGTACAAAGGGTGTGTTTCATTATCAAAAACCCATTGGCCTGTAAAGAGATCGCACTCTTCTGGGGGCAATTCAACTTCTTCATCATCATCTTCTTCAATGACTGGCAACTCAATCTTTTGTTCATCTTCTTTGGTTTCTTGTGCATCATCAGAACTTAGAACTTGAGGCTCTTCAAGAGAGGTTCTTGAAGTCACGGCACTGTCTTCTTTGTCATTCTTCAGTTTTTCTTCAACTAGGTTAACGTTCGTTTGCTTATTGGGTTGTTCTTCTAGCGTTTCTTGAGTCTTTGGAGTACTTGATGAGAAAGGGAACTCGGCAATAGACTTCACGTCTTCATTGTACATGAAGACCCCAAACAGAAATATAGAAAAAACCACAACAAATATTGAAAGATTGTTGTTCTTTCTGTGCTTCATCGATTCACTTGTGAAAAGAGAAGCTTTGCGGCGAGATGGCTGCATTAGAATAATAAGAACAAAGAGAGAATTGGTGAGAAACTGAAGCAAAGTTTGATGGAAATATAGAGACAGAGAGACCAACAATAATATGTATAAGAGAGAGAGAGATAATTACAATGCATTAGTAATAATTTTTTTTTTTTTTTTTTATTTTATTAGTTTCTATTTGTTTAATTGAGGTTTGGTGAGATGGGGTTTTCTTGTAGAAACTGGTTAGGCTTCTGGTGGAGGGAGGGTTGTCTTTCTCAGACTGAGTTTATTTTTATTTTCATTTTCTTTATCCATTGGCTAACTACTTTCTTCAATGAGAGAGAAATAGTTAAAGAGTGAGTTCAAAGATTTGCTCAGTTGGTCTTATTCCATTACCTAAAATTTGGAGCAGAATACTCAATGTTAGATCTGGTGTTACTGTCTCTTGATTCTGAAGAAGAAGCTTCAGCTTGCAGAGTTTTAATTTAGGTCCATGTCGGGCCGTCACAGTATTCTCTCATATCAATCAAAAAGATCAAGTTAATATAATGTATGTTGATCGAACGGTTGAGGACCCTGACTCTGATATCATCAAACAGTTTCTTCTTCGTCACAAAAGAGAAGATCGTATGACTGACAAAAGAGAAAGAGACATGGTATGAATGATTATTATTTAATATTAATAAAAGTGTACAATATATAGTTACATATTCTGTATAAGGAAATACAATTATCTTAATAATAAAATTAATAAAAAATATAAAGAAAGATGATATTATAAATTTATAATGATCAGGAAATGATTTTATTCCTTAATAGCGAGTACATTGTATTTCCTACCCAAGTGTTTTGGAAAGTAACAATACGCCCTAAAAATTGATCATTTTATCATTTAAAGACTATATTACCCTTCATCTAATTATAAAACCTAAATTTAATTAAATTACATACTAACAAATAAATAAAATAAATGGGAGAGTGGAGTATAATAAGATAAATGATACTAAATTTTGTTTGAAATAAAGTTTCAGATTTTTTCAGTTTTTATTTCTTTAAAATAAATATTGAGAAATAAAACTTAAAAGTATTTATAATTAAACCAATGGTATTATAATGTTTATATGGTAAAATAACTTTTTTTGGGGAATATTTGTTACTCTTTTTGGTTAACTGAATATTGAGGTGTTCGGCCAACTTACGTGTATTTTAACTAATTTATATGAGAAGCTATCTTATAGAAACACACTGCATTAGCCCCTCAGGTAAGTCATTGGCAAAGATACTACCTTTGCACCCAACATAGAATCAAACTTAAGACTCTAGGTTAAAGTCATGCACAACCCCTTGGTCCGCCTTTACCGTTGGGCTACAAATGGATGGGTTGTATTTGTTACTTTCCAAAACACTTGGGTGTGTTGGTACTTTCCTCAAACCTTGAGGAGGAAAAAAAATCCTGTTTGTTATCATAAAATGAAATTCTGATAGAAGAATAAATTACATTTACACATACTTGAGTTGGTGCTAAACAATAAATTTATATATTTGGTCAACAAACGAATTAATAATTGGTTAATCTTTGATTAGATAGACAAGTAAGTATAACAAACATAATATTAATATAATTTCTTGTTCAACTAAACCCTGAAAACTCGAAACCCTAAACCCTAAATCGTTGTGGGGGAAACTCTTTGATTTCTCATTAAAAACCTCTTTCATTTCACTCTTTTAATTTGTTTTGTCTACACTATTTTAGGCCCAATCAACGGCTTTCTTTTGTTGCCAATCATTTTGGTCATCATTTAAAACACTCACCTAATCCAATTTATAAGCATTGAATTAGTATTAATCCCACCCCAATTTTGGGTTAATCTCTGTGGACAAACACCCATGCATGTGAATGTGATATTATTTCTCTGTCCCCAACAACTTCCTTCCCATAAGTGTAGTTTGATTTATTGTGAATTAAGGCCTATAATTGTTAAATTTAGAGATGATCAAAATTAATTAATTATTAGTAACTTTATGTTTGAGAAAAGTAAAGGCTAAGAAAGAAAGCCCCTTTCATGGTGTGTAGTCAGTACAACAACATATATAGATAGATCATAGATCTACTTGGCCACTTCACTTTGCTTTGCTTTTGGCAGTGGTTAATTTGATTGGTATAACATCACTTTTTTTCCAAGCTAAGGCAACTATATATGCATCATTTTTTGTCCACAGATTTTATAATTTACTCCACTATTCCTTTGGCTTCATTGTACTCTTTCCCTTTTATATTAGTCCCAAAAAAATCATATTTTTTCATTATCCATAATGTATTATAAATCTCTTAATTAGTTAATTTTATAATTGCACTTATTTGTTTATTAACGGTTTTTTTTTTTTTTTTTTTATAGGGTTCATTTATTTCTCGAACACAAGACCGCAAGACCTCTGGGTATAGCTAATATTTGATTTTTTTAAAGGTTTTCTTTAATTCTCGAATAGAAAACCCCAACACCCCTAGATATAGCTAACCTTCGATTTATTAATTTTTTTCTCGAACACAAGATCCTAATACCCCTAGGTATAGCTAATCATTTGTTTTTTTTTTTTTGTTTTTTTTTGGGTAAACTCGGTAATTGCCTATTCCATGACTTGAATAGAAGATTCCTAAATATAGTTAATCCTAGTGGATAAAGGGCTTGCTATCTCTCCACAAGAGAAGAGGTTATATAGTAAATCATTTCATATGATTTGATAAAGAATCATATTTTTTCATCTATTGAACATATTATAGACCCCTTACTAAGAAGCTTCCGGGGTGTTTTTTTTTTTTTTTGAGGATTTTTTATAGTCAAACCAATCTCTTTTCTCTGACCCAAATATTTGGTTAGAAAATAATAAATAGTTTTAGGCCGAACGACTTGTGCATACCCAAGATTTACCGTAATGACAAGTTGGTACCTAAACGGTTTTAAAACGACAAATAGGTACCTTCCGTCATGTTCTGTTACTGATTTCTGTTTATTAATAGTGAAAAGACTAAAATGCCCTTAAAAGTTTCAATTTTAGTTTTTTATAAATTTAAAAATATCTAAAAAACTCCCTAAGTTGCTAATTTAATTAAATACCCTCATATATAAAAAGTTTGTTAAATAACAAAAACACCCCCAGTGCCAGATTCCGGCCACCATCGCCGGAATCTGGCCGGAAAACTACATTACAACACAGACCCGTCGGGTCTGTGTCGTAACATGCCAATCTGGCCGGAAAGGGCCAGATCTGGCCGTCGACACCGCAGATGGTGTTTTGCGGCGTCGACGGCCAGATCTAGCCGTAGATCTGGCCTTTTCCGACCAGATCAGCCACGGATCTGGCCGAAAAAGGCCAGATCGACGCGTTACGACACAGATCCGGCGGGTCTGTGTCGTAACGCGACTTTCCGGCCACATTCCGGCGGTGGTGGCGGGGGTGTTTTTGTTATTTTATAAAATTTTTATACATTGGGGTATTTAGTTAAATTTGTAAACTTAGGGGGTTTTTTAGAAATTTTTAAATTTATAAAAAACTAAAATTCAAACTTTTAAGAGCATTTTAGTCTTTTCACTATTAATAAACAGTAATAAACAGAAACCACTAACAGAACATGACGGAAGGTATCTATTTGTCGTTTCAAAACCTTTTGGATACCAACTTATCGTTACGAAAAATCTTGGGTACGTGTAAGTCGTTCTCCCACAGTTTTATCATCTTCCTTTTCTGGTTGGTCGGGGAATGATTAAACATTAAGCCTTGCTTAAATAATTAATTTATTTTACATAGAATAAGGCCTTTCAACATGCTTCATAGCTAAGAATGATAACCAATTTTTGGTGCTTTGATTGCAGGTTCACTGTCTATTATCCATGACTTAAGCGTGCTAGCGGTACTTTGAAATAAAGGGAATAAATGATATAGCTAATTGACTTTTTAAGGTGACAAATTATAGATGAATGTACTAAAATAATTACACATTTAATTTCCATAGTTACGAGAATCACTGTTCAATATTATTACCTTTAAGAGACCGACACTAAAACGGGCCCTTAATAAAGCATATCATTATTAAGATTTCGTATTACTACGAAAGACTACTCCAAAGCCCAAAAGATCAGGCTTCCTTTGTCGCTTTGCCGGGAAGTGGGACTCACCACCGGTCACTTGTTTGGAGGATTTGGGATATTGTTCTGCATGTTTGGCTTAATATTTTTATCCTTATTCTGGATCCTATTCTCTAAATAATATTTGACATATTATTCCAAAAATACTACCTTATTTTTTTAATTTCATTTAAACCCCATAAGGTTATTAATTTCACTAAATACCCCCTGAAAAAAGTTTAAAAATTAATAAAAACACCCCCATCAACCCAACTTGTCAAATTCCGGCAACCACCGTCGGTGATAGCCGGAATCTGTACAACGGCCTAACTTCCAACCAGAAATGGCCGAAAGTTCACCGCTGTGGCCTTTTTCGACCAGATCCACCACGAATCTGGCCGTCGTTTGGCCTTTTCCGGTCGTCGACGGCCATAACAGACCGTAGATCTGGCCTTTTCCGGCCAAATCCACCATGGATCTGGCCGGAAAAGACCATAACGACGTGTTACGGCACAGATCCGACCGGTCTGTGCCGTAACAAAATTTTCCGACCAGATTCCGACGGTGGTGGCCGGAATCTGACACTGCAGGTGGTGGGGGTGTTTTTGTCATTTTATATGTTAGGGTCTTTAGTTAAATTAATAAACCTAAAGGCTTTTTCATAAATTTTTAAAATTTACCTCGTAATACTCCCCTATCTAATAACCCAATATTATCCCTAAAATCCTATCCAAAATACTAAACCAAACGCTTTATGATTTTATTATATATATATATATAATTTTTTTTTTTTTTTTTTTTTTAATAATTGAGGTGTTCGAGTCAGTTTTTGTATATATTAACTAGTCATCGAGACCTATTGCATATTCAGCAAGTTAAATGTTTCAAAGTCAGCTACAAATATGATAGATACCCTAAGGTTTCAATCCAAAAAGTTAATAAAAAGAGCAAACCTCTTTGATAGGGCCGTTCAAAAGCGGTTAACCGACTCGGTTAACAACTTTATTTTAACTGAATCGGTTTTCCGGTTCGAAAAAATTCCCGAACCGAAACCGAACTAGTTTGGAGGAAAAACCCGAAAAACCGGTTAGCCGTTTTAAAAAAAGTAATTAACCGGTTTTCCCTTTTTTTTTTAATAAAACTTTAATTTTTTTTTATTTTTCCTAAATTAAATTGTAAATATAAATAATACATATCTAAATAAAAATTACACATTCATATATACTCATTGACCATTACTAACAATACATTAAAAATATTATTATTTTTTTATTTAATATATAAGATAATATATCATTTTTATTTTTATTTAATATATATATATATATTTGTAAAACCGGTTTCGGTTAACCCTTTTTAATTTTTTTCCAAACCAAAAATTCGGTTTTTTGAATTTTTTGAACCGTAACCTAACCGTCTTTTCAGTTAACCGGTTTTTCGGTTCGGTTCAGTTTTTATATTTTTTTGAACACCCCTATTCTTTGACTGCCAAACTAATCCCTTAAGACTAAGTTTATTACATTGTCACCCCTGATATTCAGGCCGAGACCCCAAATAGAGGTTTTGTCATTTAAATGAAATGATATAAGAGATAAATGGTTAGTGGTTTTAATAAATAGTTGTCCATTTTAACATAATAAATATTGTAACAGTTCCAAAACGGTCAACTGTTTATTTTTTACTGATAAAAACCCTGTTCCAGGGTGGAAACGTTGATTTCTCAAAATTGGGGGTTGGAAAGTGTCTTTATGGCAAACCTCAAGGTGACGATGGGATAAAACCTGAATGATCTATCTCGGACTAGGAGTGACAAAACGTAGGAAGCCCCTGTGGCCTGTCTCTATCTATACGAGTTTTAATTTAAGGAGGAATTTGGCTTTGTATATGTTGGGTTTGAAGAGTCCAGCATTAGATGATTAAAATGAGATTTGAACTTTATGAAGACGACCAGTCAATCCACCAAATAGTACAGTTTTTTGGATTAGATATTTTAATCACGATTAAAATAGGATAATTTTATGAAAAAAAAAAAAACTCAAACAAATTACTCCATTTTAATACCATTGCTACTCTACAAAGCAAAACCACAAGAAAGAAAACTTAATTTAAAGATCTAGATGCGGTATCTGTCAAGTGGGTCTTTGAGATGGAGACGTTCATGATACAACCTCCACGCATAATCCTCAAAATCAAACGACTCAAACATTAAAGTCTCTTCTTCTTCTTCTTCTTCTTCTTCTTCCGTCACCAAGCTCCCATGGATGTGATCATCTTCTATGATTTCGTGTTGACCAGTACCGCTACTAGTCAAAGTTGCCTTGGGAATGAGAGGAGAAACTCTACTCTCTGCTGGAGGAGTCACAAGCAGAGTCATTGTTACGCAACGTGAATCTTTATAATCTCCATCTCCCAAACATGCCACTGGTCTTCCTCTCACTTTCTTCAACTTCCCATTGCTCCATACCTATTTTATTCATACCAAATGCATGAGGCAAGCAACTAGAATCAACGTTAATTGTTTGAAATATCTACTCTAAAGAGATTGGTTGAGTCATAATTTTTTTTTTTTTTGGGTGATTAGTATCTGGGTTTACGCACACTTTAACTAATTTTTTAGACCTTAAATTTAACGATCGAATAAATCTTCGGTGTTTAGGGTGCGTTTGGTTTATTATTTTGGATAAGATTTTGGGAATAATATTAGGTAGTTGAATAGGAGAGTATTACGAGGTAAAATTAAAAAAAAAAAAAAAAAAAAGCTCTTAGGTTTACTAATTTAATTAAACACCCCAACATATAAAATGACAAAAACACTCCTACCACCGTCGGAATCTGGCAGGAAAATTGCGTTATAGCCTTTTTTGGCCAGATCCACCACGGATCTGGCCGAAAAAGGCCAAATCTACGGCCTGCTGTGGCCATCGACGGCCATCTTTGGCCGTCAGTGACTGCCAAAGATATGGCCGTCAGCGGTGAAATACCGGCCAGTGACCATTGTGGTATAGGCCGTTGTACATATTCTGGCTACTGTCGACGGTGGTTACCAGAATCTGGCAAGTATGGGTTGATGGAGGTGTTTTTGTTAGTTTTTAAACTTTCTTTTTGGGGGGTATTTATGAAATTAATAAATTTAAAGGGTTTAAAAGTAATTAAAAAAATATAATAATATTTTTAGAATAATGTGCCAAATAATATTTGGAGAATAGGATTAGAAATATAGGCAGAAATATTGAATCAAACATATCCTAAGAGTCCCTATTCAACCAACCGATCACCTGGGTGGTTAAGTAAAAAAAAAAAAATCCTAAAAATGCCAATGACTGATACTTATCTCTAGAAAGGAAAATCAGTGACGAGTGAATGCTTGTCTTGTCGCTAATTTTTTTATATGAAACGTGTTACTTAATATAAAGTTTTATTCATCTACAGCGGAGAAATATTATGTGCTATGACGTGAACACGAATCTTTTTGCAATAATCAAAATCAATCTTATGAAAAGAATAGACTTAGAGAAATAAAGTTGGGCCTCCTCTTTTAACCTTAACTATGTGGGGACATTGGGGTCCACTTGACCCCGGCTACTCGTTTGAATTGGAACTTGTACCCAACAGTTTTAAGATTAGCGGTCACGGGTGAACATGACCCGAACCCGGATATCGAATCCGATATCTTGTTAACATGAAGATTCTAAGATATAATTAGTGATAAAATTAGATAAGACATAAGACTCACCTGAGCAATGTCACCAAGTGTGACTAGAATTGAGTCTACTTGTGGCAAAACAACGACCCGACCCGAATCCGCTAGCAATGAGTACTTCTGGTGCTGGATTTGGTACTGTAACCCAACAACATACGGGTAAAACCCACCTGATAAAACTGGTTTATCGCCATGCAAACCCTGAGATATCCACATCAAAGAACAAAACTGGGCCGGATCCTTTCCTAACGGGTTCTCAAACCCCACTGCAGTCGATAGCATTTCAATGATCTTCAAGCCAACTTTCTCCATAGCCCCAATGAGTTCACGTAGTGAGGCTAAGCTTAACTCTGTTGACTCAGTGGAACACGTTGAGTCCAAACAGAACGACTCACCGTTTCCTTCTTCATCTTCTTCATCATCAGCTTCAAAACCAAGAGGCCAGTTCTTGGGAAAATATGCATCTTTTTTATCTTTTTCTAGCTCAAAGAGACCGAGTGACTCGGACTCAGCCGAGCGAGCGAGTTGAGATGATATGTCATGGTTTGTGAGTTGGAAGTAACCGAGTTGAGAAAATGAAGACTGTAAACGACCGATAAGGTTTGGGTCAGAGAGAGAAGCGAGAGGTGGAGACGTGGCAGAAGGGGAGCGACGAGTGGGAAGAGAAAGAGTAGGAGGGAGACGGTGGAGGAGTTTCGAGAGAGCATCGGCTGCTGCTCCTGATGTGGACAGGTGATTATTGGGCAGGGTTGAGGGCGTTGGTGGCGGCGCTGCGGTGGCGGCGCCGTATATGTTTGGTAGCTGTTGTTGTTGCTTGTGAGCTGAAGAGGCCATGATGTGAAGGTGGCTGAGAAATAATCAAATATACAAATAATAATCGTATTGTAAATGTTTTTTATACAGAGAGAATTTGGTCGATTACACGTGTGAGCCTTTTTTTCTCACGATTGAATAAACATAGAGGATAATTATATATGAATTTTGCAAGAGTTATGTTTTGTATTGATGTATTTCATGGACCAGGAGTGTGATTAACCTATAAACAAGGTTTTGAAACCTTTGATTAAACTGATCAAATAGGGACCTGAGGCCTGTGTCGGCTTGATAAATATTGCAATTAAACCGGTGGCCCAATCGATTCAATCAGTTAACCCGTTTAACCTGTGACTCGATCACTTAATTGGATCATTGATCAGATTGGTTTTGTCGGGTTAACTATAACATATATGTTAAAGAGTACCAAATAAAATAAACCTATAACATAATTTTCATAAGGATTTTGATATATACTTTAGGATTCTATCGTTAATTGTGATTGAGGAATATTATGACAAAGCAAAAGCAACTCCACTGAATGTTTATGCAATTTAAAAATAGTACAATTGCCCAAAAATTCGCTAATGCAGGTAATGGCAGTGGGGCAGTGGGCTGCCTTGTTGTTGGGGAATTCGGCCATGGTGGTAGCAGGTTTGGCTTGCACGGGGTCCTCTGTTTCTTTGGACTTTATGATCATAGAAGTACGTTCCAGCAAATTAAAATATTTTCAGTTTTTCTAATGGGCCCTGTCAGGGATCATGTGCAACTAACTGACTGAGCATTCGATAATCGATATAATGTCCCCTGTAATGGGCAGCAATAACTTACTGGTCATCCGGTAACATTACCCTATTAGTTTCTATTATTGGATTCATTAAACCCTATCTTTATGACTTCATTAGGAATCTTTTCTATGTGAAGAAAATTTGTCCATGATTAGTTAGGTTAGGTGAAATCCATTTATAGGTACATATATGTAATAACCATTAGTCATAAATTAATCAACTCGATTGGCCCAGTGTGATTGTTACTTTATGCTGTTTTTCATTTATTTTTTATTATATACTAATTGGTATTAAAGGTGGAACAAATATACCGGGTTAAACGGATCAATCCTAACCTAGTCCGCATTAAAGAGAGTTCAACCCGCATACAACCCCTAGGCGGGTCAGGTTGATATATGGTAACTCGCGGGTTGCTATTTTGTTTTATTTGGGGAAAGGCTCGCCAACCCTACAGGTTGGCCCCCCAAAAAAATTAATATTTTTTTTTAAATACTCTTTTTACCCTTGAAATATAGCCGTTTTATAGTAATTGGAGGGGTCTTTTTCGTTATTTTCTTTTCCCATTTTTTTCTATAAATTGGCCTTAAACTCTCAAATTTTCTCATTCCCTCATTTTCTCTAATCTCTAATCTCTATTAAAATCTATCAATTATTCTCTTTGTTGTCAATTTGCTCTTATTTTAATTTTTATTAGTTTTTGCAATTTTCAATTCATATTTCCATATTCCAATTCTCCTTCTTTAATTTTTTTATTTCTTCTATATCAAATTTTTTTTTTGTTTAAACTACAATGGATAAATATTTCTCTCCCATCAATTTCAATGATGAAGAAAACTATTATCCTAGTCTCGCTAAATTTACTAACATAAATGCAAGAGATTCAAATAGTCCCGCTTTTCCAGTCTCAGAATCTGATACACCTCAAAATATGTCCATGATTCCTCCCCATACTGCTACACCTACAACTCCTGGCGGTTTTAGAAGTCTTCCTCGTCCAACTTCATCTCAAGCTAAAGCGGGTTCATCAATTTCTGTCGAAACCAAAGACAGACACACATCAGACGTTTGGGTACATTTCGACAAGTTTTATGAAACAGAAAATGAAGTTCAAGTGAAGAAGACAAGATGCAAGTATTGTGGAAATATTTATAAAGCTGATTCAGGTAATGATACCAGTACTTTAAAAAGGCATGCTAATAAACATATTACTTAACATGGAAATAGAGAAACCAATCAAACTCATATAACTAATATGGGTACTACTTGGCGTTATAATTATGATGTATATAGGAAACAATTAGCTTTATAAATTGCTGTAACTTATCAACCTATTAAGTGTTAATATGGCTGAAGATAAATATTTTGAAAGATTTATTAAAAATTCATTTTTTACAGGATTTAAAAGTTATTCTAAAACTGCAACTATAAATGATTTAATAAAATTATTTGGGAAAATGAAATTAGAATTAAAAAATAAAATATATAGTTGTCATGTTAGTGTGGCTCTAACTGCCGATATTTGGAATAGTAAAGCTAAATAAGATTATATTTATGCGACTAGTAATTATTTTGATAACGAATATAAATTAAATAAATCTTTATTAAGATTTAGATTAATGGATGTGGATCATAGTGGTCAACAAATTTATAATAAAATTGTTGAAGTTTTAGAAGATTATGATGTTGTTAATAAAGTGATAAATTTAACTTTAGATAATGCAAGTGCTAATACTGCAGGTATAGATTTTTTTAAAAGTAATTATCATTTTTATAACAATTTGAAGTTTTTTCACCAACGTTGTGCATGTCACAATATTAATTTAATTGTGAAAAGTGGTATGAAAACAATTAAAGAAAATATTGATAGAATTAGGGATTCTATAGCTTAGATTACTAGTAATAATAAAAGAAATGTTAAATTTCAAGATGCTTATATAAAATCAAATATGTCTCCTAGAACTTTTGCATTAAACATGCATGTTTGATGGAATAGTACTTATTTAATGCTTGATTCATGTTTACCTTATGCAAATTTAATTAGTTATTTTGTAGCAAATAATAGAGGTCCTCATTATTTGATAGAAAATGATTGACATATAGCTAAAATATTTCATTATTTTCTTAAAAATTTTTACTAATCAACTTTCTGATGTGTATTATCCTACTAGTCTATTGGTAATACATATAATTATAAAAATTTCAGAGTTATTTAGAAAAAATAAAAACAATAAAATTTTAAAGAAGCCAGTAGAGACAATGGAATTTTAAAAAAAAAAAATATTGGAAACCAATTCTTTTTATTTACTGTTTAGATGCTATATTTGATCATAGAATTAAAATAGCAGGTTTAGAAAATGGTTTAGACGCATTAACTGAAAATTTATAAAACGAAGCATATACCAATCAACTAGGAGAGGTAAGAGATTGTCTTGCAGAGATATATTTTCAATATGAAAATAGGTATACGAACCCGCAAAGACGTGAAATACCCAGGGAAATTGCATCAGAAGAAACAAGTGAAAGCTTCTACTCCTGGAGTGCATTTAATAGGCTGAAGAGGACCCGAACCTGAAGCACAACCTCCTTTTCAGAAGCACTAACAACGTCAACGAATATACTGTCTTCCATGTAGTCACAAAGTAATGAGCTTCAATAATATTTGGGAACCCCCGAAATGTTATCAGCAGATCCACAACAAATAGCCAACTTTGATGTCTTAGAATATTGGAAAACCAGAAAATGTATTTTTTCGGTATTATTAAGACTTGTCTTGGATGTTTTCGCTGTTCTTGTCTCAATTGTCTCATTCGAACAAACATATAGTGCAAGTGGAAGAATTTTAAATGAAAGGAGGACTAAACTTTCACAAAAAATGATTGAAGTCTCCACATGTCTTCAAGATTGAGAACGGTCGCGTCATTAAGATCAATACGAGGTTGTCGACGATACTTTAATATAATCATTTCAATTTTGTAATATAGATGATACGGATGAAGGAGGTTCTATTCAACCCCTAAATTAGTTGTTTTGTAAATTGTAACTTGATAAATGAATAAATCCAATTTTTCTTATATTACAATTTTATTGTATTAAAATTGAATTAATATTTGAAATGTTAAGTTGTTAAAAAAAAAAAAAAAAAAAAAAAATTAATTATTGATATTTGATAGTTAACTAAAAACAATTACACAAAAGAAAAAAAAAAAGGGTTAACCCAGTCTGGCCCGCAATATAACCCGTCGGGTTAGGGTTGGCGGGCCGGGCTGGGCTAGCCAATTCCAATAAAGTGGCGGACCTAACCCGGCTCGTAAAAAATGGTGGGCTGAGTCAGCCCGACCCGCCAAAACTGCCAACCCGTCATAGGTCGGGCGGGTTGCTTTTCCAACATTATTTGGTATCATAGGGTAAGCAAGAACATAAAGCAAACAAACATAAATTGATGCCATGTTATGAGAAATATATTAAACATCCTCCCATAATGTAACAAAACAATAAGGTTTGAGTTTGCTAAAATAATATAAAAAATCTTTTAAAAAGATTAGTACAATAACCTGATGGCCCATTTAAATTGGAGATATTCATAAAAGGAATTTAACTTAAGATTGTACACTTATACATATTATCCCCAATAAGCAGTGCTAGTTTTATAAAAACACATACAAATGGGCATACAAAAACAATCCTCACCTTTGATTTTCATGATTTTTCTCTCTCTCTCTCTCTTTCTCTTTTTTCGTTTTTTCTTTGTTTTTTTCTTCTGGATGATGTCATTTTAATCTTCTTTGTATGAGTCTTTGTAAGAATAATATTTTTCTATCCCTAATTCACTTCAATTATCAAGACTATCCACGAATGAGTATAAAAATATATTATTATTATATGTAGAAGATTTACACTATTTTAAAATAAAAATAAAAAAATTTCCAAAAATAAAAATTTACATCGTCAAATTTTACGTTGATAGAGCATATTCCGTTATGACAATGAAAGGAGATAGCCAGGTCATCAAGTGGGTCCCAACTTATCTCACTCATTCTACGTCAGCTCCTCGCATCTCACGCATTCCGTCACAAGTCACCATTTTCCCGATAAAAATTCTCCCCCATCATCATTTCATCACCCTCAATCGCGCCATAACTGGAAAACGAAGAAGCAAAAACAATCTCTTCATTGCTCATAAGCAAATTTAGGAACAGTTGGATTATTCGTCGTCGTTTCCAAAGATGATAAATTTTTTTCATAAAAACTCCGACCAACGGCCACCTCCTCTACAGGTACTCGCTTGTTTTCTTATTCTTTAGCAAGATTCGTTGTTGTTGAAATTTTTAAGGCTTTGTTTTATTTTGTTTTTGAATTGATTCGTTAGGCTGCAACGCCTTGTAGAGAGAATAATAGCTTTCATCTTAAGGAACAATTCATTTGCCTTTTTTAATTATTTTGTGATCAGAATCTTGAAAACTTGAGATTATTTTGTAGCATTCTCAGCTTAGCTGAATTTAATTTATCAAAACATTTAGCTTGTTGTTCAATCGTTTAAGGATGCGTTTGGAAGTTCTACGTTATTCATACTTACTTTCAAATAGCTTTTGATGTTTGCCAAAACACACAAAGCATATTGGACAAATTTCAGCTGGACGAACACATAATTAATAGAAATACAAGTAGACTGTATGCTATTTCAAGTTTTATCGATTATCTTGTTGAGATGGTTGCGGAAATTCGTTTTGAAGAACCTCCTGTTCAGGGAGGGTTTTGATTATTTTTCAAATTATAAGAGTCTTCGTGTATGTAAACCATACCTCAAGGAAGGTCAGTGATATTGAAGTATGGTAGAATGAAATTAAAGTTAGGTGCTAGGTGAATAGCTGAGTTGCTTTGATTTTTTTTGTTGTATGTGTATGTTTAATTAATCATACTGAATCACTTCTGCTATTCTTTCACTGGAAAAATGAGATGCAGGGAAGTTTGACACCGAAAGACTTGAATCCACGCGTCACTCTTCATTATGGAATACCATGTGCTGCATCTATTCTAGCTTTTGATCCTGTTCAAAGTCTATTGGCAGTAGGAACACGGTGAGTTAAAACATTTTTTGTGTAATAGTTACCGAAATTTCCCAATTAAAGACATTTCTAATTTAAGTTGGTATAGCGGGGCATTTTTCATATGTTTGATACTGGTATGAATGATAGAAGTCTTAAAGATGTTTGCACAATAAAGACATTTCTAATTTAAGTTGGTATAGCGGGGCATTTTTCATGGCTTTTACTTTGCCTGATATTGTACGAATTTTGGCTTCTTGACTTTGATAGCTATCTTTGCTGATTTTAGGGACGGTACAATAAAGGTGATTGGCGGCTATAATGTTGAAGGGCTTCTTGTATCTCCTAAGCAGTTACCTTTCAAAAACTTGGAGGTTTGTAAATCAAGTTGCTAAAATTTATTTGTATTTTTAAAAAATGAAATAATCTATGTTAGATTTTAGTTGACTCAACTTTGAGCACCATTTTGCTTCTTAACTATGCATATAGTTTTCTGACAACATAAAACATTGTTTTGATGTTGGTTTCTCTGACAGTTCCTACAAAATCAAGGTTTCCTGGTCAGTGTCTCAAATGAAAATGAAATCCAGGTACTGATTATTCATATTCGGAGCTGCAAGTGTCTTGTTATAAGGTACCCTAGTATTAGGCATTATTTGCATCTTCATCCATTGTCTTTATTGCTTGCCAGTCGTATGCACATATATGTTCTTTCTTTTGCCCTTCCTGTGGACATATCTTATTGGATCATTAACAAATTTTCGGTGTTGGCAGGTTTGGGATTTGGAACACAGGCGAATAACCTCCAAATTACAATGGGAGTCCAACATAACTGCTTTCTCTGTTATTTATGGCACCAGTTACATGTATAATAGTTGATCTTGTTTTCTCTAGCATACATTTATTTTTTGACAACGATTAGCTGCAAATGAAAGTCAAAACTTTGTGTCTGGCTTTTAACATTGGTACCCTATGATTATGTCCAGGTATCTTGGAGATGAATATGGGAGTGTATCTGTATTGAAGTATAATGCTGAAGAAGGAAATCTCATGCAACTGCCTTATTATGTTCCCACAAATGTCATAGCTGGTAATGTCATATTTTTGTGATTGGCTGATATAGTTTGAGTGAATATGTATTCTCTAGAATTTTTCATGCCTTAAAACTTTCCTTGATGGTAGTCCAAAAGTAGTCACCTAATCATTTATTTCCTTTTTATATAAATGATTTTTGTAAACAAAGGTCATGGAGCTGGTAAGACAAGCCCTGCTGTTGAATTTCTTAATGTTTGACCTGTGAATCTTGCATTCTGTGTATAAGAAACTGTCTATTGAGGATTTTGTATTCGGTCTAACTCTGGACCTGATTCAGTTTTCTATTTTGTTTTTCTGCGGAAGTGAGTTAACTTGCTCAACTGTTATTTGAACCCTAACCCCAAAAAAGCCATTGATAGCAAGATACTTCCTGCAAATTTATAGTCCTTCACCGTTTGCCCATTTACCTATCCGATTTTAAGAACAATTAGGGATGCTAAGTTTACTTTTTACCTGCTGACAACTGTATTGCCATTTTGCTGTTTCAACTTCAGAATGATTCTTTAGCTCTACCCTGTCCAACTTCCAACTAATGCTTTTCTTTTTCCCTCAATTGTGCAGAGGCTGCTGGAATTTCGTTATCTGATCATAATTCTGTTGTTGGAGTTCTAGCCCAACCTTATTCTCAGGGAAAAAGGCAAGACGGATTTTACTTGAGAGTTTCTTTTCTTTTTATTGCACTGTATAAATTTTAACTAGTATTTCTTTTCCAAAAGAAACTAAAACAGGAAGTTAGCTACTAAACTTGTGGATTGTACATTTATAATTTTCTTTTCAACTCCTTAGAAGAATTTCCTTTTGCAGATTGCTGATTGCATATGAGAATGGCTTGGTTATTCTTTGGGATGTTTCTGAAGATAGAGTTGTTCTAGTTAGAGGGAACAAAGATCTCGAATTGAAGGGTAAAACAGTTGTTAATTCTTCAAAAAGTGCAAGACATGAGCCTTCTGAAAGTGAATCAGACCATGAACAAGCAGAGAAAGAAATAAGCTCCATCTGTTGGGCATCTACCAATGGATCAGTTCTTGCTGTTGGTTATGTGGATGGAGATATAATGTTTTGGAACATACCAACTGCTGCCCCATCTAAAGATCAGAAAACTGAAAGTTCATCTAATAATGTTGTTAAGCTACAGCTATCATCAAGCAACAAAAGACTCCCTGTCATTGTTTTGCGTTGGTCGGCTGACAGATCAAAGAATGATTGTGGTGGCCGACTCTTTGTATATGGTGGTGATGAAATTGGATCTGAAGAAGTCCTGACGGTGTGCTTTTTACCTAAATTAGTGTTTATTACATTCTATTCATAGTCACTCTTTATGTTCTTGTGGTAACGAACCTAATAGTGTAGGAAAGTGCCTATTCAACTGTCTAGCTTCAATGACACCATTAATTTGAGTCCTTTCATGAATATAATGAACTTTCTAATCTTTCTGCTGAATATGGGTGGAGCCTACTAGCAAGTTGTTTTTCTGAAGAAGAGAGTCTAGATCACAATTAGAGATGAAGATTTTTGATGAAACTATTTATTTTCAATCTCTTTCGTTTTTAAAGTTTTCTGGATGGTTTAACTTTTATAATGTAGCTTGGGACGTGGCTTAAAAAAGATGATAAGAATAGATTTTATGGATCACGCTGGCATGCCAATATGATATGAATACAATCTTTGTTTGATACTCTTTATATGTGCATGTAGAGCTTGTGCTTGTGGTAAAGTTCCATCTTGTGTTAGTTGGCTCTCAAATCATAATCTTCATGTGCTATTGTAGGCAGTTACTGTATTTATTGTCTACTTATAATGCTGAATGTAGATTTCTAGCTACCTAGGAATCAAGAAACATTAGCAATAGCATCAAAAGTCTATTTACTACGAAACGGATATATAATTACTCATGTTATACACTAATAATTCTTCTTTTGTCTTCTACAGATGCTATACCTTGATTGGTCTTCTGGAATAGAAAGTTTGAAATGCATTGACCGTGTAGACATTACACTTAATGGTTCTTTTGCTGATGTGGTTTTATTACCTAGTGTTGGTTCAGTGGAAAGCTGTGGCACTTTGCCATTTGTATTGACAAACCCAGGACAATTGCATGTTTATGATGATGCTTGCTTGTCTTCTTTAATATCTCAGCAAGAGAAAAATACTTCTGCTTCTCCATTGCAGTATCCTGAGGTCATACCCACCATTGAACCATACATGACTGTGGGAAAGCTTGGGTTGGTACATAGAGGTGGGAAATTTTCGAGGGATCTTTCTAAGGTAACACGTATTTATTTTTGGGGGAGCTTTCAAGGGATAGTGGATTGTTACTGAATTCCATTATAAGCTCTTTACCACTACTAATTTAGGTCTGTTTTGTTCAATTAGATAGTCTTGGCTGCAAAAGCTCAAGCATCCGATGCGCTATTGACTCCCGTTACTGGGAGTACGAAGTGGCCCTTAACCGGAGGTGTCCCCTGCCAATTTTATGCTGCTGAAGATTATCTGGTTGAGAGATTATATGTAGCTGGCTACCAAGATGGATCTGTTCGAATATGGGATGCTACATATGCTACTATGTCCCTTATGTATGTTTTAGGATCTGAGGTTAGTGCCATATTACAATTTTTTAAATTCTAATGTTGGATTGTTAAATGACATTGTTATTATATCAAGATCCTCTTTGATTGGGAATGTCTTGCTTATGGAACAAGTATTATTTGATGGGCAGCTGCCAGGTATTAAAACTGCTAGTGCTGGTGCACCAGTATCAGCATTGGACTTTTGCACAGACTCGTTAAGTTTAGCTGTCGGCTATGCATGTGGTAGGGTAAGAGTAACTTGTTTCCCTTATTTAAGTGTCTGCTTTAATGGTCACTATATTTTTAATGCTCTATTGACTGTATTGCATTCTTCTGAGAGTATGTAGGTTTGCTTGTACAAGCTAGTAGGGAGTTCAAATGAAACAAGTTTGAACTTTGCAACAGAAACTGGAAAAGAAGGTATGGGATTGTAAAATTCCTTGTACCATGATTTCTTTTAGCTGTTGAACCAGATCTTTCAGTCTTAATTTGCTAGAGAATCGGTTGCTCTAACAAGGAGCAACAGAAGGAGACGAGAATTATTTAGAGGGATTAATTATTACTATATAACTGAAATTCCAAGTAGCTTAGTTTGATATGGGTTTAAACCATGGTTCAGCATCTTTTTTTCCTTTTTGAAACAAGTGAGATCTGGTGATGAAGTTTTGTTCTATTCTATTCTTTGTGTGACATAGTACTGGTATGTCCCTTATTTAGGATTATTATGTTTATAGGAGAAGTTTTTGCCTTCTAAGAAATTTCTCTTCAAAATCCATGTTGTTTGGGTACCCAGCTTTATGATGGCTTAGAGATTAGGCTGCTAGGTCCACACAAACTTGTGAGTGTCTTCACAAACTAAAGGATGTCTCTGGGTAAGACTTACTTGTGAACCAGTCTACCAGATATAACTTTGAGAGAGACTGCTGAGTGGCTGTTGGAAACATTGATGTGTAATGTTCAAACATATGGAGAAGTTGGATGGATCTAATTGGGTGGTTATAGCTGTAAAATAATAAAGCTAATTGCATTTTCTAATTAGGAAGTTCTCTGAATGCATGCTGAACTTGAAAGTTCATATTTTCTGTCTTATTAATATTTTCTCACTTTCTAACTTGCTTACAGTCCACATTTTGCCCAAAGGGGATGGGCCTCAATGCACGGCTGTTTTTTCCTTCATCAGTTCTCCTGTATGCAACCTACAATTTTCGAATACTGGAGCCATACTTGCTGTAGGATTTGAATGTGGCCGGGTAAGAATCACCACTTCAGTTTTGTAGGTTGACAGTGCGTTTGTTTGAGTTTACACTAAATTATTGACCAGCAATGTGGCCTAGAATTCATTTTTCATTTCGCATTTCAGGTTGCTGTACTTGATATTAGTTCATCATCAGTCTTGTTTCTTACAGACAGTGTATCCGACTCAAGTTCCCCTGTCATATCTTTGGTGGTGAAATCATTTCCCAATCCTAATAACACAATAAACACTCCAAAGGACTCCAATTTAAACACTTTGGAAAATCCTATAAGGAATGTGGTATTCTTTATGACCAAGGATGCACATATTGTTGTTTGTGATAGCACCACAGGAAATATTCTTGCCTCTCAGTCACTACATCCGAAGGAATCAAGTGCAATTTCTATGTATATTCTAGGTGAGCTTTTCTGTTGGAAAGAGAATTAAATTATCTATTATGCCTTGGAATTACAATTTTCTATTGTATTCGTGCAGAGGATGATGGCAACTTGTTCTCTGAGTTGTCCAGTGCAAAGCATTCAGTGAGCTCACCTCGAGACAGCGAACCTAAAAATGAACCTACACAAGTTAATGCTAAACATGGAAGTATTCCTCTGGTAGCTGAACCTGAAACCTCCACTGAAACCTCATATTCTGGGCAGAGGTTAATGGACTTATTCGTTTTACTTTGTTGTGAGAATGCATTGTGGTTGTACTCTTTGAATTCTGTAATTCAGGTGCCTCTCATTTACTCTATTTATTTCCATTTCATCATTTATATGTCTCCCTCTGCCAATAAGTGACACTGCCTTATTCTAGGGGGACAGCAACTGCATTAGGAAGGTGAATCTTTTAAAACCATGTTGTTGGACTGCAACCTTCAAGAAAGATGAGAATGAGTACGGGCTAGTTATAGTCTATCAGACTGGGGAGATTGAGATAAGGTAAAATTCCATTGTGTTATTTTCTTTACTTTTGATGGTTCAAAATCTGATCTGGCATAAATGATCCGAATCCCCTAGCATTTATTGCAAATGGAAACAGATGTTCATTCTCAAAACTTACAATATCCGGCCAAAATCTTTGGAAGTAATATTTTATTATTTATGGTTGATTTCATCTTTGAACAGGTCTTTGCCATGTCTTGAAGTGGTGGGAGAAACTTCTCTAATGTCAATTCTAAGATGGAACTTCAAGACTAATATGGAAAAGACAATGTGTTCTTCTTGTAATGGACAAATTGTGCTGGTTTGTTTCTTTTTTTCCCTTGATATAATTGAGCCAAGCAATTGCTTTTCTCTTTTCATTTATCACTTTTTTCGTTCATCTCTCAATTTGTGGCATCTGTATATTTTCTACATTCACATCCTCACTGTGATTCTTGTTTATTGTTGTGCTTTTACTTGCTCTGATGATGAAATTTTGTCAGATACTTAGTCTTCCAACATAACTGTTTTGATTTTTTATTTTGTCTTTAAGTATCAAGGGATTCTTGATCTATTTTGCACTGCCAAATTTTAGCTTTGAGTTATGAATTCTAAAATGAGTCACATGTTTCTGCAGATAAATGGGTATGAATTTGCGTTCATATCAGTGTTAGCTTCTGAAAATGATTTCAGGTTTGTCTCTCTCGATCTTCTCCATCCCTCCACCCCTTCTCTTTATGTGCATGCACCATTTTATCATCAGATTATGTCACTATTAGCAATAATTGCAAAGTGAAGCTCCTTGTAATTCTCATATTATCATTGCCTGGTTTCAGGATTCCAGAGTCTTTGCCTTGTCTTCACGATAAGGTCCTTGCAGCTGCTGCCAATCCCACCAATATATCTCCAAGTCAGAAGATAGTAGAGGTTCATCTTTAGGATCTCTGTCTTGACTTTTATAAATAATTTAGATTTTCATGCTTAATTTCTGTGGCAACAGGGTACTGTCCCTGCGTATTTAGGTGGACTTGTAAAGGGCCTTAAAGGATTAAAGGAGCACAATGTGGATTTGCCTGGCCCTGAAGTTAGTAACCAAAATTGTGCCCACTTAGATACCATATTTTCTTGCCCACCATTCTTAAAGCCCTCCATGGATGACCAAGAAGTTGTGGAGCTTAACATAGGTTCACCATTCACTGTCCCTTGCTTTGATTATCCTCCTGTGTCCCATTTCTCCCTCTCCTTTTCTGACTTTACTATTTATCTGGTGCAGATGACATTAATTTTGATGAACCTCTTGTTGTCTCATCTTCATCTCAAAAGAGCAATAATGATGAGAAAGGTATGCTAAAAATTTCTCAATATATCGCATAGATTGTTTTAACTTTAGCATACACATTTACCTTTTCAATGTTCTGCAGATAAGAGAACGAACAAGGAAAATTTGTTTGAAGGTGCAAATACTGACGCCAAACCAAAACCAAGAACAGTTGAAGAAATTAAGGCTAAATATAAAAAAGCCGGGGTAATTTCCTGTGAACTATAGCTAAATGCTTTACATTCCTGCAGTATATTTTCTGACATTATCATTCCTTCCAGGATGCATCTTCAGCGGCTGCAGAAGCAAGGAACAAGCTTGCAGAACGCCAGGAAAAACTTGAGGTTTGTTGCTTTTTGTGTCTCTTACAAACTAATCACATTATGCTGAACAAAGTTTTCAAGAGCGAACTTAAAGTTACCTCGACAAAATTTTGGAAGTTCGAGTGCAAATAATTAGATACCAAACTCTTAGAACTATTATTTTTTGCCTTGTAATTTGTGCATATGAATTTGTTTTCCCAAAGTACTGAATTATTGTAAAACTTTTTATTTATTTATTTATTTATTTTATTTGTTATTGTATATCAGAAACTCCGCGATCGTACTGAAGAGCTACAAGACGGAGCTCAAAACTTTGCTGATATGGCAGGTGAACTTGCCAAGGCGATGGAGAAGCGTAAATGGTGGAAGCTCTGAAAAGTTGGTGTAAATGGTAGTGCTTTCAAATAATTAATTTAACAAGTTTGGTTCGTGGGGTGAATGCAAGCAAATCCCTCACCAATGGCACCCTCATAGTTTATATATGTGCGTGCAGATCTGATTATATTTCCCCATTTCCTCAAAACTGTAATTAATTAAAGCAACAAAATGAAATCTGAAAGTATAGCACTACATTTACAATTTTTCGATATAATTCTGATGGGTTAGTTTGCGATTTGTCGGTTTGCAGTGGGTCTTATCTAGAGGCGGCGGTGTGTCGTGTCTAAATATTTAAAGCCCATTGTGCCGTGGGTCGTGTCGTGCCAGGCCCGCACTATTTCGTGCCTTGTCGTGCCGTGTCAGCTCACGAAATTTGAAGGCTCACGGCACGACCCCTTAATATCATGCCATGCTTTATGCCGTACCGTGGGCTGGCCCATATGCTTTTTAAAAATATTTAATTTTAATATTTATAAATAATAGTAATTTTGATTTATTATTAATAATTATTTTAAAAATATTTTATATGTTATATTTAATGATATTTTATATTTATATTAATAAAAAATATATAATCACTATGAAATATAATAAAATAATAAGACATTGAAATATTAATGGAATTTTAACATTTTTTATTACTTATAAGTTATAATTATAAATTACAAATAGAAATTAGGATTAAAAATTATTATATAGGGGGGTAACTACTATTTTAAAAAATAACTATTAATTTTATTATTTTTTGTATCGGCCCATGGGTTTTTTTAAGGCTCATGATATGACCCACATATTTTCGTGTCGAATTGTGCCGTGTCTTGTTCACTGTTTTAAAAACCGGACCGGACCGGCCGGTCCAACCGGTTGAACCGTGAACCGGTCACCTGTCCGGTTCGGTTCACTCTCAAAACCATTATAAACATTAAACCGATTTAAACTGGTTAAAAACCGGATATTATCACTAAACCGCCGGTCCAATCGGACCGGCAAAAAAACCGGTCCATATTAAAAACCTAAATCCTTAACGCGATTCAGTCTTCTCACGCCCCTCTCTCGTCTTCTTCAATCTTCAATCTTCAGTTCTTCTCTTTCTCCATTTTCCTCACGAAAATTTCTAAACAAACTCTCAGTTCTTTGCGAAGATTGTAACGGTTTCATCTCTGTCTTCTGTTCTCTCTGAAATCCCACCCAAATCGCGTTTGAACTCTGTGAAATCGACGACGTCTTCCTCCTTCGCCGGAAATCGACGACGGCAGCTCCATCCTCGCTGGAAAATCGACGACGATAGCTTCATTTGTTGACGATAGCTTCATTGTTGCGATAGCTCCATTCCGATCCAGGTACGCCATTCCTCGCTCCCTTACATTTTTAGTTGAAATTGTTAGGGTTCTTTTGTGTTGATGAGCATTGATTGGGGCTTTTTGCTGGGGTCTTTCTCGTTGTAATCTGGGCAGATTTGTGAGAGGGTTGCGTTTCATTTCTGTGTGTTTTATATTGAAGAGAAAAGGAGGAGATGATGATGGAAGGATTCTTAGGGATTAAGACGGTTGAAGTTTGATGTGTTAAGTTGTAATCTTGCAACGATTTTCTTAAAGAAACCATTATCAAATTGATGACGGTGATCTTCGAAATTGGAAGGAAGGTCTCTGGAATATATAATCAAAATCCACGCTAGTTGTATTATTTTATTTCAACTAAAATCAAATTAATTATAGTCTATGTGTATATTGTTATAATTGGTCCATGAATATGTAAATGATCAAATCAGTTCTGTTAAAAAAAAAAAAAAAAAAGGATATATCAAATTTGTGGGCACAAATAAGAAAATGGAAGTTCTTAATTCCCTAGTTTGATTAGTAACTCAGATATTAGGGTTAACAGTAGAACTTGTTTTCCCCTACCTTGCTGCCTTTCCTCCTTCAAACAAGGATACTATTGGAAATATTTATATTAAGTTTTCTATTTGTATAATGAATGGTTTATCTTGTCACTTCTGCTGTGGTTCTGGTGACTATCATTTCTTAAATTTCTCGACTCTGAAGCTGATGTGCCGAGTTGTAGATAACAATAAATAAGAATAAGAAAATTTTATATTCTTGGTATTTTGTCAGAAATGAGATGTCATGCCCTCTCTACAATGAAGTGAGATGTCAGAAATGTTTGTGATATTTCTGCTGATGATTAATTCAGTTCTTAAAAGATCCAGAAGCTAACTATACTTATTAGCTTTTCGGTTCTCTTGTTTGAAGTGAAATTACAGTAGAAGAAACATTCATAAATAGAATGAAATTGGTTGTTTGGATGTGGTGTTATTGGTTCTCTTAGTTTAACTGCACACACCCAGGTAAAAGATCATCCGCTGTGATATGATGGTGATATTTTGTTTTCATGCTGTATCTTCTGTTTTGTCTATTGGTACCCTGGAAGCAATTATTTGATATATATCTGCCAATATTGATGGTTTATATTTATCAATTTTCCTCTCATTGAAATTCTAATATGGCAGGCTGCAGAACTGCTCCGGCACCCACACCTTCAGCCTTATGTTCTGAAGGTTCATCTTAAATTAAATAGCCCTGACGCAATACTTTACCCGGCCATGGCCTCAGTCTAATTACATAAGGACAAGATTTTCAGAGCCAGACTATGTTCCTGTGGCCTCTTATCGGACAAAGCGACATTATTCAGCAATGATAGGAATTTGAATCAAGTATATGGAGCTGAGCAAGATTCTGTCTCTTTTACTAAAGATACGTGATATCCAGGTTATTTGAGTCAAAGGTTTCAGCATTATCTGTTGAAAGCAGCATGAAGGGACTGTCATCTGTAAGCCAATTGCTTCAAAAATTCCAAGTGTTACCAAGATTCCAAGGCTTACTCCAGCGAAAGCTTCTGTGGGCATAGGAGACAATCAGAGCCCCTAAAGAAACATGAATTGTGTATGATCATACAAAACTTTCTTATGAAACATATACACACAAAGGTCTCTCCATTTCCTAGAGTAATTTTGTTAGTTCATAGTTATGAGTTCTAATATTTCAATTCTTTTTACGCAGCATCTTGTTTCACATACTCCAAAAAACGGCTGTACCTACAAATCGCAGAGCATCTTTACCATTGCCAACAAGAACTGCAATCAAGAATCGCTTTCAGGCCTAGTATTTGTTTTGTTATTAATTGTTATGTATTTTGTCATTTGATATGTAAAACAACATAATGTTTGGATTTGGACTTTGAATTGTTTAAATACTTAATTGTGTTAAGATTGTTGTTGAATTTGAACTTGAATCATGTTGGATAGTAATTAAGTTGTTATTGTCTTATTGAAAAATAGAAATCTAAAAAAAATTTGTTTTTTTTAAAAGTGCTGACATCATCATGATGTGTGATGATGTCATCGGTTCAATCAGCGGTCTAACGGTTGAACCGTGACCCGACCATCAAAACGGTTTGCCCTTCGGTCCGGTTTTTAAAACAATGGTCTTGTTGTGCCATGCTTTTTTCGTGTCGAGGTGTGTCTGTCATGGGTTAGCAAAACTCACTATCGGCTTTAGTCTGTCTGTTAAATATAAATTGACAATAGTGAATTATCACTTTAAATTATATAAAAGAGTTAGTAAGAAAAAATGCAAGTGTTGTTTTATTAAATCTTAAATGCGGAGGAAATAAAACGCGATTATATTGTACTATGATATTTGATTTATACACGAAATAACTTGCGTTTCATTCACCAAGGAAATTGCCAAGCAACTTGAAGTGACTAACGAAGAAAGTATTGGATGTTCGTTCACGTTTTGCCTTAGAAAAACGAGGTCTATTCTGTGACCGTGTCAACTCTACTTTTTTGAGTCCGGGGACGACCCTTTTTCTTTTTTTCGCACGTTTTACTCCTTCAATTTTTTTCTGATAATCTACCTTAATGGAGAATCTAATTGATAATTTAATGGATTGACAAAAGGTTTGTTTGTCCAATTGAAGAAAGCCACGTAAAAAATGCCGATATAGTGGACTTAATGCCACCCCATTTTATTTTATTTTTGCCTAAAGGGACCAAGTACATCATGAACTTAAAAAAAAAAAAATCACTTTTGGGACATTATAAAATTGAAGCCATCTCCTTGAAAGCAATAAAATAATATCGTTTATATATATGATATTAAGGTACACTTTTATACATAAAATATGATAGGAGAAAGACGAGATGAAACTTACCCTTAAAAAAGAGAATGTTTTTATTTAATGAAGATATAATAATCTTAAAAATATAGCTATTAAATATATTTATATAATCCATGTGCATTACATTATTTAATCTAACAATCTCTGAGTGGGATGATTAAGACTTTTAAGTGTATTATTCAAGAGTTCTTTGAGTTTAATTCCTTTTAAATGTTAATAAAAGTGACTACTGAAATGTGTTTATCTGATCATTAATTTTAAGGCTTATAGAGATTAGTCCAGACAGGTGTCCCCCGATCACAAGAAAAACATTATTTAATCTAAAAAGAATTAATGATGACTGACCTATAAGAAGTGAGTCTTGCTTTTGAATATACTTACCATATATTTGATTTTGAGATATTTTATAAAACTAAGTAAAAGAATATTGTAATTAGTAAAATATTTATACAGGGAAAATTGATATTTGTCACACATATTTTATGGTAATCACCGACACCGTCCACAATTAAAGATGAAGCGTGTGACCATGATGAAATCATTTTGAATGGAATTCCACATTCAAAAATCAAAAGTTGAAAACGAGAGAGAAATGAATTGACTTTTCATAGTACTATAACTAAGATATTACACCACAAAGACCTTTGACAGAAACCAAACCAAATCCTCATCACACAATTCAACGTTCAAGATTTGACTACGTCATCCTCGCTTTCTCCATTCATACGTGTGGGACAGCCTTCCCTAATATCGGTGGTCAAAATCTAATTGCGCTTCCTATTCACACGCCCCACTCTGATTACATGAATGAAATACAAATACAGTATTAAACAAGTGTAAATGAAAGCCCAAAGCCTGCAAATCTCCCATGCAAAGCAGAAAAAAAAACAGTTACATACGCAAAATATCAGCTATAAATAAGTACAAAGGACAAGCAACAAGAAGCACAAGTTGAGACTTATTGTTGGAAGTGGAGAGAAGCCCTTGTGTTATCTTCTCAGCTTGTTCTTTTATTCACAACCTTGGGTTTAAATCTCTCTATCTTTTAGCTTTAGAGATTCACATTTTTGTTAGGGTCTTGTTTTGGTTCTTCAATGGCGAGTTGGGTCTTATCAGAATGTGGCGTAAGACCCCTGCCAAGAATCTATGCAAAACCCAGAACTGGATTCTCCAAGTTTAGATCATTTCAAGTTGCTAAAACTCACAGTTTTTCTTCTTCATGTAAGGTGTCTAATGGGTTTAATGACAGAAAGTGGTCATTGAATGTGAGTGTTCCATTGAGTGGACAAGAGATTTTAAGGGAAGAGAAAATCAATGGAGTTAGAGAAGAAGAAGATGGTGGTGAGTTTGACCCTGCTGCGCCTCCTCCTTTTAAATTATCTGATATTAGAGCGGCTATTCCTAAGCATTGTTGGGTTAAGAATCCATGGAAATCAATGAGCTATGTTGTGAGAGATGTTGCTGTGGTTTTTGGCTTGGCTGCTGTTGCTGCTTACTTCAATAATTGGGTTGTTTGGCCTCTTTATTGGGTTGCTCAAGGAACAATGTTTTGGGCTCTCTTTGTTCTTGGCCATGATTGGTAATCCGGCAATTTTCTTTCTTATATTTCAGTGCCATTTTCATTGTGTTTCATATTGAATTATTTATGCTTAGTTCTCTGTTTATAACAAGAGATTGTGGTTGGTTTTGATTGTGCAGTGGTCATGGTAGCTTCTCAAATAACCCAAAACTGAATAGTGTTGTGGGTCATCTTCTTCATTCTTCAATTCTTGTTCCTTACCATGGATGGTTAGTTTCCCAAGAACCCATCTTCTTGTTAATTTATTACAGAGCTTTCTTTTCATATAAAATGATTGAATTGTCAATTTAATAATAATAATAAAAATTATGGTTTCTGTAGGAGAATTAGTCACAGAACTCATCATCAGAACCACGGACATGTCGAAAACGATGAATCATGGCATCCGGTAAGTGTTCTGTTCTAATTTCAGGGGACCAATTTGGTTTCTCTTTTCAAACATGGAAATAATTGAATCTAAATTGCGTGTTTTCTCCAGTTGTCCGAGAAAATTTACAAGACTTTGGATAATGCTACAAGAATGTTGAGGTTCACCTTGCCTTTTCCTATGCTTGCTTACCCTTTCTATCTGGTAAGACTTTTCTTTAATTTTTACTTTGAGCCATTTTTATTGACTTAGAATTTCTGTTCTGATTGTTTGTGGTATAACGTGATGCTGATTTCAATTACAGTGGGCTAGAAGTCCTGGAAAGAAAGGGTCTCATTTTCATCCAGAAAGTGATTTGTTTGCACCAAGTGAACGAAAAGATATCATTACTTCCACTGCTTGTTGGACAGCAATGGCTGCGCTGCTCGCCGGTTTATCCTTCACCATGGGTCCTCTCCAGATGCTTAAACTCTATTTCATTCCATACTGGGTAAATTTAGTTTCTTTTATTTTTTTAAACTGTTTCTATGATTCTATCTTGTTGCCCAGAATATAATTTTCATATGCCAGTTACTGAATTGTCGCACAAATGCAGATATTTGTCATGTGGTTGGATTTAGTAACTTACCTGCATCACCATGGCCACGACGACAAGCTTCCTTGGTACCGCGGAAAGGTATGATACTGTACTCCTGTCTTCTCTGATCATTCTATGAGATAAAACTGTTTCATCTGTCTAGTGTTTACCAATTTATTGGTGTAGCTGATTTTAGTTCTGTGTTTAATAAAACAGGAATGGAGTTATCTGAGAGGAGGGCTTACAACAGTTGATCAAGATTATGGCTGGATTAATAACATTCACCATGATATTGGAACCCATGTGATACATCATCTCTTCCCTCAAATCCCACACTACCATTTGATAGAAGCAGTGAGTATATCAATGTCATTACATACTAATTTTCTTGACAGACAGGTTGGTTCACTCTCCGTTCTGATTTAGTTCTAATGGTTTTTGTATACGATTTTACAGACTGAAGCAGCTAAACCTGTGCTTGGAAAGTACTACAGAGAGCCAAAGAAATCTAGACCTCTCCCATTGCACTTATTGGGAAGCCTCATAAGAAGCTTGAAACGGGATCACTTTGTTAGTGACACTGGGGATGTTGTCTATTATCAAACGGACCCTAAATTACATGGACCAGAGAAACAAGATTGAATACTCCTAGCTGAATTATTTCAAGCACAACAAAGAAGCATATAAAGCAATTGATTCTTTGTGACAAGCTATTTAACTTCTGACAATTATCTCACTCTGTATTACCACAAATAGAGAACCCAATCTGCCCCATATATATTTTCTTCCTGCTGTATTCGAGAACAGGTCCCCTGGCATATATGTTATCACATGGGGCATAACGGTTCTGCTTTGTTATGTATTAATGAAAGAAAAATCTGCAATTTCAGATGAGAAAATGTGTGGTTTGATTTGTGTACACGTGAGTTTTTGGTTGTAAGCTACTGCATACCACTGATACGAATGGACTAAAATGATCATTATAGTAAACACAGGTTCCCACTAAAGCTTTTTGGTGTCATTCTCTTCAGTTTTTAATAGCACAACTTTTTGCACGCTCCCAATAAAATATCTGGTGTTGCATAAAAATTACATACCTTAGGAGAAAGGTTGTCCTCATGCCACATGCAACCCAACTCAGAAAAGTCTGAAACTGAGATATGCCCTAAACGAGTTTTTATTTATAATAATCCGTAAAATAATCGAAGCCATCCAACTCTTTCGATGCAATAAACAAGCCTGTTTGACAACAATGCTTAAGATGCTGACATATTATCTTGTAAGGAGTGGGGAAGTAAAATTCTGCAGGTAGACATCTGCAGTTCAAGTAGCTCACAATTTCAGAACTTCATACCCTCTTATTCTTGATTCATCCCAATTTTGGCTCCTAAATAGACAAAATTGTATAGTAACATACACCAAGATAAATAGATTTAAGTCTACATGAAAATTTGAACAGTTTCCTAAAGATATGAAGTTTATAATCATTTCCTTTTCTCTTCTTCAATCAGTAGTACACAGAATGTACTGCATTCATAAAGGAAGATATTCGCAATTGATCCTTCTGAATACCATCTAAGCCACATATGCCACTACTAACATCAATTCCATTAGGCTTGAGAGTGGACAGGGCTTTGGAAACATTCTCAGGATTGATCCCTCCGGCCAAGAGCCATCCATGTTTGCTTCTAATTGGTGGTAAAGTAAACTGGTCCCAGTTAAATCCTTTGCCACTGCAGACACAGTCACAAGTTTATTTACAAGTTAAGAAGTTAATACTTCAAACAATTAGAGAGGTCAGGAAGCAAGGAAAAAGATACTTTTGAAGAAGGTCAAATTTGGCCAATCTATGATCCAAATAAATCAAACTTACTAATTAGACACTTTGTTAACATTGTATATTTCAATTTATGTAAAACATAAGAATTACGATTTTATTTAGGGAATCCCTGCTTTTGGCTAAGGTCTGGACAAAAACAGGTACCCCAACATCTTCAAGTAACTAGTGAATTCAAATCATCTGGTCCCATAACAACCTATCCATGTATTGAACGGTGAGATGATTCAAATGTCATAGACTATTGCCTAATCAAAATTATGGAGTGGAAGAAGTAGCACAGTTTAATCTATGTGGCAATTCCTACCTAAGACATAAAAAATATGCTTGACATGGAAATTGCATGAATTTTTTTTCTTTTTACCTGCCACCCTTTGCACTATCCACAAGAATCCAATCAACCAAAGAACACTCTTTATCAGAAATCTGGTTTAGAAGGTCCCCATTTTCATTTGCATGAAGAACATAAATTATTCGGTTTTCTTGCACTAATTCTGGAAATGCTGCTCGAGAACCGTCTCCATGAAGCTGTAAAACCTCAAAAAATAACACAATTAAGTATTGTATAATGCTACATTCAAGGAATTCAATACCAGAAACACATATATACCTGCACAAACTCAAGCTTTGCCCAGTCAGCAGCTCTTAATATCGTCTCTGCATCATCATCCACAAACACCCCAACAGGCTCTGCCCCATATTCTCTTGCAACTTTTGAAATCTCTTTAGCAACTGCCAGCGAAACCGAACGCTTGGAGTTTGGCCAAATAATCATTCCAATAAAATTAGCACCAGCTTCTGCTGCCATAGCAGCATCTTTAGCTGATGTAATCCCACACATCTTAACCAAAGGTACATTCTTTTCACGCTTCTCATCATTAAAAGAAAATTTATCCTTCTGGGAAGAACTGCAAGTAATCTTATTTTTCACAAACAACCCCTTTCTCCCCATGAAAAAGTTCCCTCCCCTTACGCCTGCAAATACACAATCTTAACGTGAATAGTGATTTTTAAAACAACTGTCAACGACGAAAAAAGGAGTTTAACATTACCTTGGATTTGCCTGCTGTGGAAGTTAAAAATTTTGGGCTGAAATAGGCCACCAGTACTCAATCCTGATGAAAAAAATGAACAAACATAATGTGAACAAAAAAAAAAAATGATGAATGCAAAACAAATAAAAATATTTCTAAAGGGGAAATTCACCGAACATTTAGTGTGCATAATATGGAACAACCTGTGGGCATATTTCTCAGCTGTTTATATTATTCCAGGATCCTTTTGCACAGCCAGGGGAGCTGAAGTTTTGAAGGCTGAGGAGTAACACTAAATCCACCCCACTTATTTCCTAAACGACCCCAAATTTAAATTCAATCTACCAAGCATTAGCATCAGAAACAGAACTGTTCTGATGCTTATGTTATTGCTTCAAGCCTTCAACCCCCTCCTCCAATATGAACCAGTGTAATCGAATCTCTCTTAACTGAATTCAACTAAACTGTCTAAAACAAACACTTCCATTTTTTGAGCTTGGGGTGGTGCTATTCAGAATACATGTGAGTGTATTTAGAACAACCCGACTGAAAGGGATTCTGGGCCTATTTCAGATCCAAATTAAAAGCCCACCTAAGGCCCAATTTCATAATACGCTGCTTTCCAACTCATCTAATTTCAATTATCACATACTTTTTCAAAGGATTTCTTTAATACTTGGGTCAATTACATTAGAAACGTAGGGTGGTCGTCTTTGTTGACCGTGTACTCTCTTTTCCCAATCATTTCCAATGTGATTATTCATTCAATCATTCATAATTCATATATACATATCTATTAACAGGTCAAATTATTGAAGCTTGTTATTAATATTCGGTAATACCCCTCCGTTTCGAAATAAAAGTCGTTTTAAGTCATTACATACTTTTTAATTAAAATTTTTTTTTCTCTTTGCTCCTCCCTACGAAGAAAGAGAAAGAGAGAGAGAGAGAGAGAGGAGACAGGGGCATACTTCGAGAAAGAGAGAGAGGGTTGCATTTGGCCAAACGACATTTAGTTTGGAAAAAATTTATAAGGCTAAAACGACTTTTATTTTGAAACAGAGAGAGTAATAGCATGGCACTTCGAATTTGATATCCAAATTCTTTATTTTTTTTCTTTTCAAAAGATTCTCGATTATGTATCAAAAGAGTAGTATGAAACAAACGAAGGATATTTATGACTTTATCTTACGTATCGTAGGCCTATTTCAACGTCACAAACTTTTTTCACACCAGATCAAAGAGTACGAAAATAAAAAAAAGAGAGAAACTTTGGGATTGCTGAATAACAGTCGAAATAAATATAGAAAGCAACGGGGCCAACCCTAAACCCTAAATAATATGTTGACAACATCTTCGCCAATCAGAACTCAGCAAGCATCTCTAACAACCAAGATTCAACAAGTACTTAAGGACAAAAACATATTAACTGTCTGAACCTTAAACCGTCTTAAGATGATATTTTGTTGGTATCAAAATCATGCATTAACAAAGCTAATGATAAATATAGAGATAAGAGAGAGACATATTTATACCAACATACTACTTTGAATGCTTGAAAAGTAGTTTGAATGCCTTATTATTTAACCCAAAAGCCATAGATTTTTGACTTGACCGAGCCGAAATAACATGGTGATGTAAGTTGCGTATGAAATTTTTATAAAGGAGAATCTGAATATATTAATTGTGATGCTCTTTGAGTGGCAACATTCACCACAATAAGAGATATTCTTAATTCATAAAGCAACTTTTGTAGTTGTAATCTTGAAGCAACCTTAAAATAAAAAAAATAAAAAAAATGCATCAATTATATGGGAGGCTGAATGCTGAAAAAAAGCAAGAAAGAAGCTTGATATTCTTATAGATTTTGTATAATATTATGGTTGAGAGTTGGGCAATTTTAGTCTCGTGGGCGGCCCGTTTCAAACACATACTCAGGTTTACGCGCAAGACTTTCTCATTCTGAGAGACCGAGAAAAACAGAGAAAAGACAAGACCCCACACATCATCTTGGAATTTTTTGCCAGTTGCTTCATCTCAAATTCTTGGAAAATCTATGGCATTTGGCTTTCCGTGAGCACAATTATTGGGATTTGAGTGCTCGAGTTTAATGGTCAGACTCAGCTCAGCAATTGCATTATTTTCAACAACTATTAATTGCCCACTTTCTTTTCAAACTAAAGGACCCAGCTTATCGCCTCAACAGATATCCAACTCCATTTATGCAAATCTTTTGTTGATCTTTGGTGTAAGACAGATAAAATTTGGACCTGTTGGATTGCCTTATATTGATAGAGTAAACAACTTTTTCCCACCCAAATAATGGTTTAATGACACTTTTTACTTACAGATTTTTTAGGTACCACTTTACTGTCTAAATTTATATTTTGTTTTATATTCCGGTATTGTTACGACTCCACACCACTACTATTCTCTTCCTCAATCATCACTCATCAAAACCTCTCAAACCTTACTTCCATTGACATCGGTAATTGCCGACAATTAAACGATTAGGGTTTGCACAGCCACCTCTTCCAAATCAAATTCTGATCAATTTTAATCAGCAAAAGTCAACATTTCACCACTAAAAGAACTATCGGCCTTCCCTCTTAAAAAACTCTACTAGCCTAGACCGAGTTTGTTCTCTGTTCGCTGTCAGAATATAAATTTAGATAGTAAAATAGTATTTTAAAAGTTTGTGGATAAAAAAGTGTTTTGGGTAGAAAAAATTTGTTGACTCTAAATTAATAATATTCACTTTAATAGAAGCATTTCTGTAAGTTTAAAGAACCCATTTGGCCATTACTCTGGTGGGCGGGAGATGTCTCAGAACAAGAGACCAGAAACCGATATGCTAAGAAAAGAAAATAAATCATATCCAGATATAGAAGATGAGATGAAGAGAAGAGTTCAGAAAACTATGGAAATGAAAATCATTATATTTATGTAAAGATGACAGTAGAGTGAGGTACATTCTTTTGCCAATAAACATACAAATCAATCTTACAGAGGGAGAAAATAATAATGTAAAAAAAATAAACAAATTTTTTCTTCTCTTTTTCCATGTTGCTTTTTCTTTGGACTAAACTATGAATGAAATGAGCAGTTGCTCATTCTTTTTTTGTTCTTCCTAAACCTCAACTACAATCGTGGAATACAAAAGAATATCAATTTAGTTAGGATAGGGCAGGAGCAAATAGATGTTCATTATGCCACCATCTGCTCCTGTTCTATGTACAATTGCTCCATCCATAAATTATGTTGCTGCTTCTCGGAGCCAAACATTCCATTTCCTACTGGAGGAACATCTCTCACCAGGGTATTAACCCACGATACATCAGGCTCGTCAACATTTGATGATGGCATCAAGCCTGTTGCTGCAGTTGCGGATTTTGTTGTTAGATTGTTGCTACGGTACCCAAATGAAGCAGACTTCTTAAGCTTGCTCAGCTCGTCTCCTTGCATTCCCCAATCCAATTTCCCATCGGGGGAGCCCCAATCTGATAGATTAGTGGTCCTCATGGATGCAGGGTTAGAAGGTGCTGTAAGGCCAGCACGACTGGTCACTGCTCCACGGTCAACAAAGCTCTGGCTTCGCTTTGCAAAGGCAGTGGACCTTGAATTCATCACTGCAGCTGCAACTGCAGCAGATGAATCGTACCCAAATGTTGAGGGTTTCCTCACAGGAGAAGATGAAAGGGTAGTAGCTGGATAGCTTGCACGAAGTTGGCTCATGTTCTGGCGAATTTGAAGTCCAGTTGGTGACTGCAACTGGGTTGAAACTCCCTGCAACTGAGACAATACAGAAGGATCAAGAGATTCAAAAGAATCATCAAGGTTACGCTTCAAATCTCCAATCCTAGTGTATTCCCTGCTCCAACAAGATGGTGAGGAGAGACTTGATATCTCATCCCTAAATTGTTGTTGCCGCATATTGCTGACATGGTTCTCCAGCCCACGCAATTCCATCTCCAAGTCCAAATCCCTTGCACTAAAAGTAGTCTTCAACCGGCTACCAGGCAACTGCAAGGCAGGTGGGGTGAGATTAACTTTGTTCTGCCACAAACTTCCACTCTTGGGAGATGAACCAGTAGCCAACGGAGACATTGGAGGAGTTGAAGATGCAGGCAACGGCAAAGATGCTGAACCAAGTGACAATGGACTCATAGTTGCCATGTCGACCGCACTGACTGAAATAGAGCTCGGAGAAGGCATAGCTGAACCGGTGGATGCATATACAGGGCGCAACTCTTCAGGCTTGTGTGCAAAGAAACAAACTTTGCGGTTGCAACCAATCTCATCCTTGCAAAGCCGGGTTCTGTACTGGGCAGGATGTAGCCAGGACTCAAAAACACCATGTGCATACTCACAACCATCTGCCTTTGGACATGACCCCTTGCGGAACTCAGGGCAAGGGACACAGCTATAAGGGTACTTCTTAGGGTCTCTTCTCCTTGCGTTCTCACCTGGATGAACAAACGGGCACTCTGTCCAATCATGTGAATAAGCCCTTGAACAAGGCTTCACCTTAAAAGTAAACATTCTAAACTCATCAGTTCCATAAATACCATTGTTTATATCAGGCAAAGATGTATCAATAGGATACTCTTTCTTCTCCGTTCCTTCTTTTGATAACTGAGGCACTGTAATCATCTCCAATTCTTCCTCTTCAAAGACAGTTTGATCACCTTTCAACAATAACTCGACTGCCCTTCTTCTTGAATTGCGTAACGACTTCATGGCTACAGCAACAAAATCAATTGGTTTATTCCCATTAGCATCAACACAATTAGCATCGGCAGAGGCATTAAGCAAGCGCTTGACAACCTCAACTACAGAGTTTGCACCACCGGCGACAGCACAGTGAAGGGCAGTGATTCCATCAGAACCGCAGGCCCTATTCACATCAACCTTGCCAGTTCCGATGATATACTTCAAGACCTCAAGACTTCCAAACATGGCAGCAATCATAAGAGGGGTCCTCTCTTCAAACCCCATCTTTTTCAACCCAAATTTTCTAGCATACCAGAAGCTTGCCTCATCGACATCAAAACCCGTCACTTCTATTTCATTCTTGAAGGCAGCGAGATCATCAGAAGCTGACAATTCGAGCAAAAGTGAGAACTTGGTATACAAGTCAACATCTTTTTGCTTGTGGAATTCACCCTCCATGAGAAATTTTGAGGTGCAAAGTTTACTTTCAGAACCACCGCACATACCCAAGTCCTGCATAATTATAAACAAAACAAATTCAATAAGCCGCTCAATTCAAACAATATAAAGAAAGGAACTTAATAACAAGAGAGAAACATATATGAAAGCAGTACACACAGTTCTGTTTAGCTGCTGACAAAAAACAGGAGAAAAAACAAAATTGCATAACTTGGACTTATCAAGTCTCACAAAACCAAGTCTCTTTATATCATAAAACCAAATCTCTTTTTCTCAATCATTTAATTTTCCTCAATTATCTCATAGATTCAGATAGTATAAAAAAAAAAAAAAGCAATTATTAAATATTAGTCATGCTCCAAGCCATGGACTTTGTCCTGCAAGACTAATTCCTTTCAAAAATTTGAATAAACTGTGTAAAAACTATAAAGCCATTGAAGAATCAGTCAACAACCCAGATATTAAAATTAAAAATTAAACTAAAAAATCCACCAAAGAAAGAAACCAAGAAAATAAAACTCTTTGTTTGATTTTTGACCAAACGGAAACATACCTATGAAGACTTGTGACTTCCAGTAAAAGAAGAAGAAGGAAGTGAAGAGGGTTTTTGTTGTAGTTTTTTTGGAAGTTTAGAGTGCGAAATATGAAGAGAGAGAACTCGGCAAAGGAATTGAGTTGCAAAGAGAGAAGCAGGTGAGGGGGGTTTTATGTGTTTTCTTTGAAGAAGGAGGGAGGAAAGGGGAGACTTTTCTTCTTCGTCTCTGTTTCCTCTTTGGTCAAAGTCAACACTTCAAAGGGTGGGCCACTTCTTTAAGTTAGTTCATAGTTGGTTGCTTCACTACAGCTATACTCAAATTCAAATGAAATTCAAATGAAATCTAAATGAAACCGTTTCATTTCATATCTCTCTTCTCCTTTATCTAACCAGCTTATTGGGTTGTCAGTCACGTGTGCTTGCCACATTACCCATTACCTCACGCGCGCTCTGCTCTCTGTCTTTTACTCTCTACTTAGGTCTTTTTGGAAATTTTCATTATATTAAATCTTATGATTTTTAGACCCGAGTACATTTTGAGGAACTATCCCATAGCAATCAACGGAAATAAAACTTGAGATTGTGAGTTAAGTCATACACAACCTTTTTCGTTCGCCTTACCGTTAGGTTATCCATAAATGTGTAATGTACTCAATTTTTTTATTGCAACCAATCTAATTTTTTATGCATTTGGTTTTTTCTTTCTGTTTTTAATATTATTACTATAATATAATTTGACTAACTTAAAAAATCAATTCCAAAGTTATTAAAATCGAGGTGATTTATTTTCTTCATTAAAAAAATTATTAAAACATGATTGAAAAATATTATATAAAATATATTATGCACGTGAAATCTAATTACATTAGTTTATTATTTAAACAATAATTCTAATATTTTTTGAGATGCTATTTAAAAATATAGATTTTATTATTTATCAAACAAAATCATAAGTATCTTAGGATCCGTTTGGTTTGTTATTTTGGATAGTTGAAATAGATAATTATTACAGGTAAAATTTAAAATTTAACAAAAAAAACCCTTAGTTTACTAATTTAACTAAACACCCCAATATATAAAATTTTGTGTAAAATGACATAACACCTTACCCACCCACTATGCCGATTTCGGCCACCACTGCCGGAATCTGGTCGAAATCTCGTTACGATGCAGATCGATCGGATTTGATCGGTTGTGCGTTGATCTGAAATTTTTCATAGATCTAGTCGTAGCGACAGCTAAGAGTTGACCGTCAATGATGGCATTTCTTTAGCCTTAGATCTGGCATTTTCTAGCTATAGTGAATTACAGCCAGTTTCGATCGTGTTGTATGCCGTTGTGACAGATTCCAACTACCCGATAGTAGTTGCCGAAATCTGACAACCATGGGTAGATAAGGTGTTTTTGTTAATTTTTAAACTTTTTTCTAGGAGTGTTTAATTAAATTAATAAACTTAGGAGTTTCAAAGTAATTAAAAAATATAATAGTATTTCTAAATAATTAAACAAACAATTATTGTGAATAGATTGGAATAGGTGATAATAACCAAACGAACCTTAGCTTTTCCAATATATTACAAAATTCTTGTAAAAACATATCAATTAATTCATGAAAAAAGGTAATCAATAAGGTAAATAAAGTAATGGGCGAGTGTGAAAGAGTGCGAATGGGGGAAAAGGTAATGGACGGTGTGATAGATTCCAAGCTGTAATGTAAACGAGTCAAGCCTGCCACGTTTAACGCGTTCTCTTCCATTTAGGTGGGTGACAGGATATGCCTGACTCACCTTCCTAGACCCTCCTCCCTCCTCCCTATTGCTTTCCTTTTTCTTTTTCTTTTCTCCTTTTTTAATTTAATTTTTTAATCTTATTTGTTCCTTTCATTTTAGGCACGCATGTTTTTTTTGTGACCAATTCTCATCACTATTTTAACACACGGTAAAAACCACCCCCGGCTTTGACTTCTCTTAGGTTTCTTTTATAATCCCTAACCTTAACGTTACTCCATCTCTACCATTGTTTATGTAATGATTAACCTAATTGGACGATTGTTCATAATACTGCATTGTAAATCACTACCTTGTGGTCGTATACAAAATTTTAACCATTGAATGGATTATCAGAGTTATTGTGTTCGAGTTCCATAAAGTGATCATCTACCATATCTTGGCTTGATGTACTATGGATTTGTAAGAGATTAATAGGTTCTTATAAATTAGTTGAAGTATACGAAATCTTGGCCGATATCCATTATAAAAAAAATAAAAAATAATAATAATCTTCTGTGATTACTTAATTTTAGAATTACCCGTTTTCTTGTTATAAAGAATGTTAAATTAATAGTTTTATTTAATATTTAGATGACAAAGATTATCGAGCCAATAATATAACATGATTATGATACACACTTTATATATTTATGATTAGGACCAAAGGATAAGGGAGAATAATGTTAGATTTAAATGAGGTTAAATGTGGATGATTTAAAATTGATTATACATTACTTTCCATTATGGAAAATTTTTATAAAAATGATCATCTAAGAGTAATTTGAGGGCATATTATATAAATTATATATTTTAATTATTTTTAATAACCATTTAAATCACTAGTGTTTTGATTAAATGTAATAGAGAGTGGATAATGTTAGCTCTGACTTTCTCATGACAGTTGCTTTGAATGAAGTATTTTTATAATCTAAAGTTTATTATTATTATTTAGATATTCTAGATATGCTTTGGGGATCTTTAAACCTGAATGAATCACACCTCAAGATCATAAAATCACAATTTGGCCCTAACAAATCTCAACCTAGTAGGCCCATTCCAAATGTTAGGCAGGCTTGTATTCAGCTCACATGGCTAGCCCAAATGTTGTGACTATCTAAAAGATCTCGCCCCACTAAATATATAAATTGGGCTGACTATAAGAACTCATTTCAAAGATGGCCCAATTACTGCCCAACATATGGGCTGAAAAGCCCATGAAGTTGAAGGATTTCAAGGCGTGGGTCCTTTCTAGTAATACTTAAGTAAAAAATGCTTCAATAATTATTAGAATCTATCAAATGCCTTCCTATTTTAGGTGTCTTAGAAACTAGGATTGTTTCTATTAGGATTTTGTTTCCACTCTGTTTATTATGTATCGGGCTTATGGTGTTGTTGTATATTGTGTTTATGAAACTATAATGGTTTTTTTTCATCTGTGGATGTAGGCGGATTATTCCGAACCATATAGGGTCCGTTTGGTTTGTTATTTTAGATAGGATTTTGGAAATAATATTGGATAGTTGAATAGGGTGATTATTATAAGGTAAAATTTAAAAATTAACCAAAAAAAAAACCCCATAGATTTGCTAATTTAACCAAACATCCCAATATATAAATTTTTTGTAAAATAACAAAAACACCCCCACCCACCCACAGTGCCAGATTTCCGCCACCACCGCAGGAATCTGGTTGGAATCTAGTGTTACGATGCATATCGGTTGGATCTGACCGGACGTGCACAGATCTGGCCGTCGTTGACCGTCAATGACGATCATTTCTTTGACTGTCGCTAACAGCTAGATTTGGCATTTTTCGACCAGATCCACTGTGGATCTGGACAAAGAAAGCTACATTGACGAATTATCGACCAGTTCCGATCGTTTGTAGGCTGTTGTGACAAATTCTGGCTACCACCAACGGTGGTTGTCAGAATCTGGCAACTATGGGGTGGGGGAGTTTTGTTAATTTTTAAATTTTTTTTTTCTGGGGTATTTAATGAAATTAATAAACTTAAGGGGTTTAAAAGTAATTAAAAAAACATAATAGTATTTCCTAAATAATTAAACAAATAAATATTTTGGGAATAGGATTAGGAATAAGGTATGAAATAATAAACTAAACGCACCAATAAATATCGTGTATGTTTTTCGCTATGCGAACTTTTAACATAATCATTGAAGACTTGAATATATCTTTTATCTCTATAATGGTTGATAAATTTGTTTTTGTAAGTTCCACGAGGGGGATTGAGGGCAATATTTAGAGTGTGAAAAATGTGGTTACTATTTCTTCTGAATTGTCACAAGTTGTTGAAAACTATAACCAAAAAGAAAATAGTAAATATCTTGCTTTTTAGTATTCACATTGAATTATTAGCTCAACCCAAATCAATTTATGACTAATCAAGAGGATCTATAACATTTAGTTTCCGTAGATTATCTCCATCAGTATCACTTCACCTGTCTCTCTTGTCTCAATCCGAAAACACAAGTCATGTGTTTTGTTTTTCATGTACTTCACATGCAGAAATCAAAGCATTCTAGATTTTTTTTTTTTTTTTTTAAATCACAATTTAAGAAATTTAATTGCGTATTGATTTTCTGTGTTCACGTACTCTCAAATTCAAATTAACATTATACAAATATTGTTGAAAACAATATAATCGTAATAATCAAGCTTCAACTTTGTGTATTATTACCCACTCTTGGGTAGTTCAAATGGTTGGATGAGTGTTGAGATTAGGAGTATTTAACCGGTTAACCGATTTTCTGAACCGAATCAGATTTTCTATTCAGGAATTTTCCTAAATTAAAACCGAACTGGTTAAGGGGAAAATCTTTTAACCGGTTTTAAACTAGTTTTCCCTTTAACTTATTTTTTATTTTAATTTTTCCCTAATTTAACTTATTTTTTTATTTTGAGAGGAAAGAGAAAAGTGAAAATCGGTGAGGAATGAGAAGAAATGTGTCTGTTTGTGTGAAAAAAAAAGAAAGAGAAAAGCGTAAAGCGTGAAAGAGTAAAGAGAAAAGGATTTGGGGATTTAGGGTTTTTTAAATTTAAAGTGAAAACCGGTTTTAAAATTACTTTAAACCAGTAATCGGACCGAATTTCTGGTTTATGTGTTTACTTGAACTGAAACCGAATTGGTTTTTCGGATAACTGAAAAACTGATTTAGTTTGGTTTTTGCATTTTTTTTAACACCCCTAGCTGAGATGTATGGTTAAGGCACACGGTCTTAAGTTCCAACCCCCTGACTCCCAAAATTTAAGTGGGGGACCATGGCGTGGGATCGTTGTGTTAGTCTCTTCCAAAAATTAATTCAGGTGTTGCGCGTAAACCGGCCAAAAAAAAAAAAGGGACAAACTTTGTGTATTATTGAAAACACATGTTTGAATTACA